CCTCTCCCCTCTCATCTCACTCCCCTCCACGCCCTCTCCTGCCTCTCCCCTCTCATCTCACTCCCCTCCACGCTCTCTCCTGCCTCTCCCCTCTCATCTCACTCCCCTCCCCTCCACGCACTCTGCTGCCTCTCCCCTCTCATCTCACTCCCCTCCACGCACTCTGCTACCTCTCCCCTCTCATCTCACTCCCCTCCACGCACTCTCCTGCCTCTCCCCTCTCATCTCACTCCACTCAGCTCCACGCCCTCTCCTGCCTCTCACCTCACTCCCCTCCACGCTCTCTCCTGCCTCTCCCCTCTCATCTCACTCCACTCCCCTCCCCGGCGCTCAGCCTTTGTGCATTATTCAAACAAAACCCATCGGCAGTTCCCGGCGAACTGCGTTGGGGGTCCTCTCGTCCTGGGCCACCATCTAAATGAATGCGAGGCAACGTGATGGACTAACAGCATCGGCTTCGCGGAGGCGGACACCTGATGAGTCCTCGTTGGGACTCATCAGCGCAGCACAGTCACCAATGCTCACTGTCTGCGAAGCCTGCGTCTGGAAGCCCAGTCAGCTGCAGTCCCCCACTGACACACTGCGTGGCCCAGCCGCTGTGGCAAATGCCGGCGATAATCGCCTCCGTATGTTGGGGAGAGAACGAGACATCAACAGACTCGGAGTGCGTGAGCCGTGAGGCGCTGCCGCCAGCGTCTCCATGTGGTCTATGTGTAACCATGTCAGTTTATGGGTTTTTGTATTAGTCCTTGTGTCTCTGTGTGAGTCTATGGGTCTCTGTGTGAGTCTATGGGTCTCTGTGTGAGTCTATGGGTCTCTGTGTGAGTCTATGGGTCTCTGTGTGAGTCTGTGGGTCTCTGTGGTCTCTGTGTGAGTCTATGGGTCTCTGTGTGAGTCTATGGGTCTCTGTGTGAGTCTATGGGTCTCTGTGTGAGTCTATGTGTCTCTGTGTGAGACTATGGGTCTCTGTGGGAGTCTATGGGTCTCTGTGTGAGTCTATGGGTCTCTGTGTGAGTCTATGTGTCTCTGTGTGAGTTCATGGGTTTCTGTATTAGTCCTTGTGTATCTGTGTGAGTCTATGGGTCTCTGTGTGAGTCTATGGGTCTCTGTGTGAGTCTATGGGTCTCTGTTTGAGTCTATGTGTCTCTGTGTGAGTCTATGTGTAACCATGTGAGTTCATGGGTTTCTGTATTAGTCCTTGTGTCTCTGTGTGAGTCTATGGGTCTCTGTGTGAGTCTATGGGTCTCTGTGTGAATCCATGGGTCTCTGTGTGAGTCTATGGGTCTCTGTGTGAGTCTATGGGTCTCTGTGTGAGTCTATGGGTCTCTGCGTGAGTCTATGGGTCTCTGTGTGAGTCTATGGGTCTCTGTGTGAGTCTATGGGTCTCTGTGTGAGTCTATGGGTCTCTGTGTGAGTCTATGGGTCTCCGTGTGAGCCACTGATGACCTGGCTGGGACCATGGAGGCCGCGGTGTAATCGCTGTGGTTGGGGCTGAAACTCGGAGCCACGACCCATTGACCCCCCACCACCTCCTCCGGAAACACTCACTCACGCACTCGCACACTCACTCACTCACGCACACTCTCACAGACTCACACACTCACTCACTCACGCACTCACTCACGCACTCACACTCTCACGCATTCACTCACGCATTCACTCACACTCTCACGCACTCACTCACTCACGCACTCACTCACGCACTCACACTCTCACGCATTCACTCACGCGTTCACTCTCACTCTCACGCACTCACGCACTCACACTCTCACGCACTCACTCACTCACACTCTCACGCACTCACTCACTCACTCATGCACTAACGCACTCATTCACGCACTCGCACATTCACTCACTCACCCACTCACTCACTCACGCTCTCACTCACTCACTCATGCACTAACACACTCGCTCACGCACTCACTCACTCACCCACTCACTCACGCACACCCTCACACACTCACTCACACACTCATGCACTCACTCACGCACTCGCACATTCACTCACTCACCCACTCACCCACTCACCCACTCACTCACTCACACACTCACTCACTCACTCACGCTCTCACTCACTCACTCATGCACTAACACACTCGCTCACGCACTCACTCACTCACTCACCCACTCACTCACGCACACCCTCACACACTCACTCACACACTCATGTACTCACTCACGCACTCACGCACACACTCACTCACTTACTCACTCACTTACGCACTCACTCACTCATGCACTCACTCACGCACTCACTCACTCATGCACTCACTCACTCACGCGCTCACTCACGCACACACTCACGCACACACTCACTCACGCATTCACTCACTCACGTACTCACTCACTTACGCACTCACTCACTCACGCACACACTCACGTACTCACTCACGCACACACTCACTCACTCACGCACTCACTCACTCACTCACGCACATACTCACGCACTCACTCACGTACTCACTCACTCACGCACTCACGCACACACACACTCACACACGCACGCACTCACTCACGCACTCACTCACTCACGCACTCACTCACGTACTCACTCACGCACGCACGCACGCACACACTCACTCACGCACTCACTAACTCACGCACTCACTAACTCACGCACACACTCACGTACTCACTCACGCACCCACGTACTCACGCACACACTCACTCACACACTCACCCACTCACTCACACACTCACTCACCCACTCACTCACTCACGCACTCACTCACACACTCACTCACGCACGGACTCACGCTCTCACGCACTCACTCACCCACTCACGCACTCACTCACGCACGCACTCACTCACGCACTCACTCACCCACTCACGCACGCACTCACTCACGCACTCACTCACCCACTCACTCACCCACTCACGCACTCACTCACCCACTCACTCACGCACTCACTCACTCACGCACTCATTCGCACGCGTTTCCGACGACAGACGGCGCACATAGGCCTCCCTTAAGCGTGACGTTTAATTAGCGGGTGTTTAAGTAATTGACGAAAAAATTAACGCCCAAAGGTCGCTAATTAAATGCCCGCGTGCCCGCGTGCCCACGTGCCCACGCCTTCCCAGATTTAGGCCCGGCAGGCAGTGATAACAGCGAGAGCCCGTGCATGATAATTCGTGTTTCCGATAGCACGTGGGAGCCAAGGAAAACGCAGGGGTTTACATTTTAATGGCTCTTTAAATAGAATCGCTTGGCTGTAAAAAAAAGGGGGAAAAAAAGACCGTCGTGATTTTGCCGTCAAAGATTAGATATGCTTTCATTGCCTCGAATATATATTAATGAACAATGAATCTGCTTGGGAAGGCGACGTCTGGGGCACGAGAGAAGGGTCCGAGGCTCGGTGCCTGGAATGGCAGCCTCAAAGGAGGGAGAAGTCGTCTGCTGCAGAGGCATGAGAGTGATGCTCAAGTACAATCCGACCGGCGGCCGTGGGCTGTGTCGCCCGTCACCCACGCGACCACCCACCCCCAAACCTACCCACCCACTGAACCATCCACCCACCTACCTGCCCACCAACCCACTGAACAATCCACCCACCCATTGAGTTATCCACCAACCCACCCACCCACTGAACCATGCACACGCTGTAGATTGACGCACGCGCTGCAGGCCAGCTGCTGAGTCACTTTGCACCGCATACAGACAGCTGCCTCCGGGGGTGTGGGGAGGTCCCATTCATGTGTGATGATGATGATGGTGGTGGTGAAGATGATGGTGGTGGTGGTGATGATGGTGGTGGTGGTGATGATGGTGGTGGTGGTGGTGGTAGTGGTGGTGGTGATGATGATGATAGTGGTGGTGATGATGGTGGTGGTAGTGGTGATGATGATGATGGTGGTGGTGATGATGATGGTGGTGGTGGTGGTGGTGATGATGATGATGGTGGTGGTGGTGGTGGTGATGATGATGATGATGGTGGTGGTGGTGATGATGATGGTGGTGGTGGTGATGATGATGATGGTGGTGGTAGTGGTGATGATGATGATGATGGTGGTGATGATGATGATGGTGGTGGTGGTGATGATGATGATGGTGGTGGTGGTGGTGGTGATGATGATGGTGGTGGTGGTGGTGATGATGGTAGTGGTGGTGGTGGTGATGATGATGATGATGATGATGGTGGTGGTGGTGATGATGGTGGTGGTGGTGATGATGGTGGTGGTGGTGATGATGGTGGTGGTGGTGGTGATGATGATGATGGTGGTGGTGGTGATGGTGGTGGTGATGATGATGATGATGGTGGTGGTGGTGATGATGATGGTAGTGGCGATGATGATGACGGTGGTGGTGGTGGTGGTAGTGGTGATGATGGTGGTGGTAGTGGTGATGATGGTGGTAGTGGTGATGATGGTGGTGGTGGTGGTGATGATGGTGATGGTGGTGGTGATGATGATGGTGGTGGTGGTGGTGATGATGATGATGGTGGTGGTGATGATTGTGGTGGTGATGATGATGATGGTAGTGGTGATGATGATGGTAGTGATGGTGGTGGTGGTGGTGATGATGGTGGTGGTGGTGGTGGTAGTGGTGATGATGGTGGTGGTGGTGGTGAGCTGTAAATCATCGCTACCCCTGCCCCACTCCCCGTCCTGGAGGCGAGCGGCTCTATCAACACGACTCCTGTCGCTGGAGGCAAGCCACTGCGGACCCTGACGTGCCCCGTGTGTGACCCCCTAATTGACCCCCGTGTGTGACACCCGTACATGACCCCCGTGTGTGACCCCGTTAGTGACCCCCGTGTGTGACCCCCGTGTGTGACCCCTGTGTGTGACCTCCGTGTGTGACCCCCGTACATGACCCCCGTGTGTGACCCCCGTGTGTGACCCCTGTGTGTGACCCCGTGTGTGACCCCTGTGTGTGACCTCCGTGTGTGCAGCCTGGCGGTGGTGCTGCCGCACTACAGCCTCTTTCACATCAAGGCCCTCCTGAGCGGCGACGAGATCACTCAGGCGGCCTGTAAGCACCGCACCACTCAACCGCACCGCACCACCCAAGCACCCCACTCAACCGCACCACCCAACTGCACCACCCAACCGCACTACTCAACCGCACCACCCAACCACACCGCACAACCACACCGCACCGCACAACCAAACCACACAACCACATCGCACCAACCAACCACACCGCACTACTCAACCGCACCACCCAACCACACCGCACAACCACACCGCACCGCACAACCAAACCACACAACCACATCGCACCAACCAACCACACCGCACTACTCAACCGCACTACCCAACCACACCGCACAACCACACCGCACCACCCAACCAAACCACCCAACCACACCGCACAACCACACCACACCGCACCACCACACCGCACCACCCAAGCACCCCACTCAACCGCACTGCGCCACCCAAACAAAACCCGCACCGCATCCCCGCCGTCTCCATCGGCACCGGAGCGTCCGAAGGCGTCGGACCGCGCCGCGGTTCCACAGAGTTCGGCCCCGGGGGGTAGGGGCAGAGGGGGGGGGGGGCGTCCCCATGAGGGCAGCTGCAGGGGGGCAGGAGGGGAGGCGTGGAGCTACCGTGGGACTCGGGACGGTTGGAGGACACGGGGAGGAGGATCGGTATTCGCCGACAGCACCTGCGACGCTTGGAAGCCACATCTCACCGGGATGGTCGAACCAGAGCAAGCTGCGGTGTGCGCATTTGTGGCTCGGAGATGTTAACTACCTCGCCTGATATGCAGGAGGTCGTGGGTGCCATCCCGACCCTGCCGCCTGCTGTATATTTGGAGTTTGCGTGTCTCTCTCTCTCTTTCTCCCCGTGGTCGCGTGGATTCTTCTCCGGGTCCTCCGGTTTTTCCCTCCACATTTAGAATCAAGGTCACGCATTTCGAGTGATCGGGCTACTACACAGTTCCACATGACGACGATAAGCCACGTTGCCGAGCTATCATTTGCGATAGCCAGGTCGCTTCTGAAAACGAGCTAAGTAGCAGCTCATTGGGGCCTTGCACCTCGTTAAAATTGACAAAAATAACGGCTTTCTTGGGGTTAAATGTGGTAAGCCGTGCGCTCCGAGCGACACCGGGAGATGTGCGGGGGGGCACGCGTTGAGGTCGGGGCACTTGGTTCGTTCGTCCCTCGCCTCTCCGCACCTCCGATTAGTCACGGTGCGGCTACGTGCGGTGCGACTAGAAGTTCACCATGCCGTGCGGGTACATCACAGCCGCCGCTAAGGCCTCTGTTGACGAGACACCGCGTGTCCAAGGCCCGCGGCCCCGGGGGGGATTCCGTTCGCGTTGGAATGCCAGGCGGGAGGCCGTGGCCTCTGACAGGCCGAGCGAGAAACGCGTTGTTTGTGTTTCTGCGAACCCGGATTGTCTCTCGCCTGCCCCACTTTGTGGTTCACATTCCCCGCTACGACGCGGCGGCGCTGCCATCGGCTCCACTGGTGTCCGTCTCGTGCGGCTTGATCATGACCCCTCTCCTCTCCTTTGCCTCCTTTCCCCCCCCCTTCTCCTCTCTCCTCTACCTCCTTCCCTTCTCTCCCCTCTTCTTCCTTCTTCCTCTCTCACTCCCGAACTCTGCCTCCTTCCTCCACATCTCCCTCTCTCTGCCGCGGCTCAGCCAACTCGAACAAAGGCAACGGCAAGTATCGGCGAGGCTACGAACCATCGGAACTACCGTTATTCCCATCGCCCATCGCTCCCACCACCACCACCACCATCGCTGCCACCATCACCATCGCTGCCACCATCACCATCGCTGCCACCACCACTTCCATCTCCCATCATCACCGCTGCTCCAGACGCACTTGGCCTGGACGAGTGGGATCTCAACCCGGGATGCAGAACTGTGGGGACCTCCTGGCGGGCCCCCTGGGATCTATGGGGTGCTGATACTTCCATTGTGAACCCACCTGAGCCTGCATCTTAGCCAAGCGTGTGACGATGACTATTTTATTATATTACGAACGGAAATGATGTTAAAATCGGGGGCATAACAGAAGCTCCCGTGCATGCTAGCACGGCACCTCTGCATCTCATCCGCCGTTCACACCGTCACCACCTCAACAACGCAGCATTCCACAGCTTTGTCGCCCACCGTGCCACTTGGCTACCTACCCTCCCTGCCACTGAACCACCCACCCACCCTCCCTGCCACTGAACCACCCACCCACCCTCCCTGCCACTGAACCACCCACCCACCCTCCCTGTCACTGAACCATCCACCCACCCTCCCTGCCACTGAACCACCCACCCACCCTGCCTGGCACTGAACCATCCACCCACCCTTCCTACCACTGAACCATCCACCCACCTACCGTCCCTGCCACTGAACCATCTGCGCACCTTCCCTGCCACTGAACCATCCACCCACCCTTCCTACCACTGAACCATCCACCCACCCTCCCTGCTACCGAAGTCCCATCTGAGTTTTTTTCTTCGTCTTTGCTGCTGCAGATTTCGAGACGCTATCTCCATCGTCCACGGATGCGATGGAGCACGTGTTCATCGCGCCCAGGTACACACGCGGTGCGACGCTCCGTGTGTGAAACCGCGAGTTCGATTCCCACTCGTGGCCGCGACGCCGGCCACAGGCGAGCATCCCGAGGCAATCCCGGAGCCTCGGCACGACTGAGAAATAAAACATTGGCGCTTCTCGCTCATTTCTCTTGCCCCGGAGGGCCGCGTGAGCTACGCGGGGGACCTTTGTCCGTGGTGCGCGCGGCTTGCAGGGATTACTGTAAGAACATGGTGCCAAGCGCCAACAACAACAACAACACGGAGTTCCTGCTGAACTTCATCGCCACGATCGAGCGCGACTCGCCCAACTCGCCCGACTGTGAGGACGTGCTGCTCACACTGCAAACACTGCACCAAATCACACGCGCGCCACGCACACACTGCCAAGACCAATAGCCGCCATTCGCCACTCAGTGACGGTGACGTCGCGATGGCGCCTGTGCCCAGGGCAGGTGCACTTTGAGGCCCTGTGAAGCAGGTGTCATGGGTTGGCTGAGATGACTGGTAGATGTATCCAGCTGTACCCCCTACTGTGTCAAGTTGCTACATTTTCATCGCCCGATGCTCCGCTCGTTGTTGTGAGCGTCACTCCTCTGCCATCCGTTGTTGCTGGAGGGCGACTGCATCCCATTGCCCAGTAGCGTCCTTCACGAGCCTCCTCCATAGAGGCCGATCTTGACACTGTTGGTACCAGTCGTCGGAAAGTCCACTCAGCTCTATATCCTCCCATACTGCATCAATCAATTTCTTCTCCAGCCCATGTTGTGCCCAGTTAGCCCCCTCTATACAGCTAAACAGAAGCTGCTTGGGCATGCGGTGGCTGGGCATGCGGGCTATATGACCCAACCAACGCAGTCTTGCCTTCCGGAGGAACTCGCTGATGGGAAAGTGTCCAGATCTTTAAAAGTTTTGTGAACTCCTCACACAAACCAGCCTGGTTCAACCCAGAATGGATCGTAGGCATGCCAGCCTGAGTGTCTCTAACCAGTGCAGATGTTCCATTCGAGGGGTCCAGGTTTCACAAGCATAGAGAAGGGAGAGCAGACTGTGGTCAAGAAGACCCGAAGCTTCGTGTGGAGCGACAGACCAGGAAGCTTCCATACAGGATTGCACAGCCGATTAAAAGATAATGCCGCCCGACTGATTCGGAGTGAGACCTCTGCTGTTAAATCGGATCTGGTCATTAGCACACTTCCCAGGTATGGGAAACTCTCTCAACAACTGCCCTATCACCAATTGGCAGTTGTGGGGGTGGTGTGTTCTGTGGAATAAATGCATAGGCAGGTGCTTAGTTTTGATGGGGCTGCAGGATAGACCCTACCTCTTAGTGGCACACTCCAGGTTCAGCAGCAGCGCCTCCAACTCCTCCTCTGGGTGAGCAAAGATCACCAGATCATCAGCATACGTAACATGGTTGACAAATAGGGAGCCATCCCTCGACCGCACCCGAGCGTTGTTCAGCCTCCCGTTGTATCTGTACCACATGGATATTCCTCCGGTACAGCCATGGAAAGCTTCTCGAACTCCGTGGTCAAAAAATATGTTAAATAATGTGGCAGCCAGAGGACATCCCTGTCGCACCCCAAGGTGAACAGGGAATGGCTCCGACTCCTGGCCACATAGCTTCACCCAGGCCTGCCCACCATCATGAAGGCCCTTAATTATTGTGAGCAGAAAGTCAGGGACTCCGAAAGCATGAAGAACTGCCCCTGGCCTGTTGATGGTATCATAGGCCTTGACCAGATAAATAAAGCAGAGATGTAGGTCTTGTTGGAATTCCTTACACCTCTGCTGTAGCAGACGGACAGACATTATGGCATCTGTCCAGGACCGCCCTAGTCTGAATCCACATTGGGGCTCCGCAAGCCTTTTCTCAGCGTGCCTGGCAAAGCGATGTTGAATAATCCTTGTCAGCACCTTTCCCGGCACACTGAGAAGAGAAGAGAGATGCCCCTATAGTTGTTACAGTCTGTGCAGTCCCCCCTATTAAAAAAGGGGACCACCAGGGTATCCTTCTAATCCTGCAGACAGTTGTAATGATATTATGTAGGGCAGGCTGCACACAGATGCCACCCTCCCTCAGCATTTCTCTTGGGAGATCGTCTCTGCCCGGTGCTTTTCCTGGTCTCAGACTTCAGATCGCCCCTCGAACTACCTCCACAAATGGCACCTCAGCCAACCATTCAGAAGGGGTGGCAACTTCTGCCAATATTTGAGGCACGGCAGCCCAAGCAGGGTCGTCCCCACTATGCCCCATGATCTTTTCTGGGCTGAGGGAATTCCCCTCCTCCAAGACCCCCCAAAAAATGCTCTACAAATCTGCAGACCTGTTCCTGGAGGTCGTAGATCGAATTACCGTTATTTCCCTTAAGGATGGTGATAGGTGAGGCACTGCAAGTTACTTTTTTTTATTTAATTAAATATTGATTTGTGATTGTGGTCTACTGAGGCAGATTCCATCTCCTCAGCAACCCGCATCCACCACTCATCCTTGCAGCGCCGCATGGCTCTCCGAATCTCCGAGCGAAGGCTGCGGTAAACCTCCTCATTCTCCGATGTTGTATGTTGTAGATGATGGAAGGGGGCCTGTAATTTTCTATCAACCACCCGGAACACCTCCTCCTTCAGCCAGGGTCTCTGGGGAGGTCTGAACCGCATACCCAATATAGCCGTTGCAGCTGCATGAGCCACAGTCCTGAACCTCACCAATTTCCCCTCAGTATCAGAAGGATGAGGTTACGATGTTAACCTCAGTTGAAAATCCTGCTTGCAACTATCCTCAGCTCGCTGAGACCAGGCCACTGTGGGTGTGAATGGGATCCTAGAAGGACACCCACCATTGGAGTCTAAGAATGGGAGGCTCATCTTACAGATGTAAAGTATATGGTCAGTAGGCAGCTCAGCTCCATGCAGCTGTCATGGACATGGGCCCGCATCCGCTGTTTCATAATTATATAGTGCAGGAAATGTTCTTGTTTGGACACGGCATGCATGTAAGATGTTGTGTGGATGTGCCAATGCTGGAACAGTTGGTAATTACAAGCCCATGGGCTGCACAGAAGTCTAGCAGCCTCCTTTCGTTAAGATGATCTGGCCCATGCCTTCTGATCACTCCAAACCAGGTATCTGCATCATGACCCACTCTGGCATTAAGGTCACTTAACAGAATGACTCTTTTTCGAGGGCCACTTTATCTAGCACCTTAGCCAGGAGGTTATAGAAGGCGTCTAACTCATTGGCCTTGTCTGCATCCCTCCACTGATGTTCATCTTAGGTGGGGGCGTAAACAACCACCACCATTCCTCGCCTCTTGTTCAGAGGGAAGCGAGCCCACAGTAGCCTGGGACTCACAGCTCCCACACCTCACCGCCAGACCCCCACACCGCCACTCCATGCTATTTGGTAGTTTTCCTGCCCCGAGTGGAGAACTGTCCACTCCTCATGATGACTGAATCCTGAACCGGTCTAACGGACCTCCTGTAATCCAAAAAGGTCCAGGTGGTACCGCTCCATCTCCCGACAGAGGAGCGGCAGCCTCTCCTCCGCAATGAGAGTCTGAACATTCCACGTGGCCAATCTAAGCGTTCTCCTGTTCCTGGCCCTGGCAGATGGGGTTTGGTCAGAAGGCATCATAGACGCCGGTCCCCCTGGTCTCTAGCACGGGCTCGTGTCGGGGTTCCCACCGTGGTGCTTGCTAAAAAAAGTGGCAGTTGGAGGGGTTACCAGCCCCTCGCACGACACACACACACTGCACCACACACACTGCACCACACACACTGCACCACACTTGCCACACACACAGCACAACACAATGCACCACACACACTGCACCACACACACTGCACCACACATACTGCACCACACTTGCCACACACACTTGCCACACACACTGCACCACACACACTGCACCACACACACTGCACCACACACACTGTACCACACACGCCACATACACCACACACGACATGCCACACACCCCGCACACACCACAACAAATCGGTGGTCCCAAAGCCCCCCTCACTCTACCACCACCACCACTTTACCACCACCACCACCACCACTTTACCACCACCACCACCACGATGGTCTCACCGCCCCCCCCCCCCTCTATCACCACCACCACCATCTACCACCACCACGATGGTCTCACCGCCCCCCCCCCTCTACCACTATCACCACTCTATGACCACCACCACCACCACCACGATGGTCTCACCGCCCCCACCCCCAATCTACGCAGGCAACCAGGAAATGATTTACAACCTCCTGCTGGACGCGAGGATCACGGCGGACCTGGTGGAGCAAGCGTGGCTGGACCTCAACATGGAAGAGTGAGGGACGAGCGGAGATGAGCTCTTGCTAGCAACACTCGCCACACCCACGATACACGCTGCACCCGCAACACTCGCTACACCCGCGACACTCGCTACACTAGGGCCACTCACTACACCCGCAACACTTGAACCAGTGGTGTCAAGATCGGCCTCTGTGAAGGACGCAACTGAGAAGTTGGAGGCAGAGGAGCGACGCTCACAACAACGAGCGGAGAGCGCCGGGTGGATTAAACGCAGTGCGTTGGCACAGCAGTGGGCATAGGTGGTGCATCTGCCAGTCATCTCAGTCAAGTCTACCCATGGCACCTGGGTCTGTCCCGTGACCTCCTGCCAGTGAGCCGTCGACACTTACACGTGGTCTGAAGGTGCGCCTAGTGACATGGTGACATCACCGCCACGTGGTGGCGAATGGCAGCCATTGTTGTTGAGCCAAGAAACCGGTGACCCGAGTTCGATTCCCAGCCATGGTCACCATCATTGGCAAATTTCTGTACCGGTGTTGTGCATCCTCACGGTATACTCGGCCTTAAATTAGTACTGGGAAGACAAAGACGGCCGTTGAGATAGCCTTGTGTTTCGCGCTGGCTTCCGTATTTCCTGCTCGCTAATAGCATTTGCCCCAGCAGTCTTTTGAAGGCTTTACGGGGGATCTTTGTCTTTGTGCATGGACAGATTCGGTATCCAGGCTGTGTTCGTGGCGACCGATGCTGGAGTGACACGAGTGTTCTCATACGGGTATGGAGCTCTCTCTGTGCGGTCCTCTCTGCTCTCAACAGTTCTGTGTGGTCGTCTCTACTCTGAATTCTGTCCGGTCGTCTCTACCCTGAATTCTGTCTAGTCGTCTCTACCCTGAATTCTGTCTGGTCGTCTCTGCTCTGAATTCTGTCTGGTCGTCTCTACTCTGAATTGTCTGGTTGTCTCTACCCTGAATTCTGTCTGGTCGTCTCTGCTCTGAATTCTGTCTGGTCGTCTCTACTCTGAATTGTCTGGTTGTCTCTACTCTGAATTCTGTCTGGTCGTCTCTACCCTGAATTCTGTCTGGTCGTCTCTGCTCTGAATTCTGTCTGGTCGTCTCTACTCTGAATTCTGTCTGGTCGTCTCTGCTCTGAATTCTGTCTGATCGTCTCTACCCTGAATTCTGTCTGGTCGTCTCTACCCTGAATTCTGTCTGGTCGTCTCTACCCTGAATTCTGTCTGGTCGTCTCTACTCTGAATTGTCTGGTCGTCTCTACGCTGAATTCTGTCTGGTCGTCTCTACCCTGAATTTTGTCTGGTCGTCTCTACTCTGAATTCTGTCTGGTCGTCTCTACTCTGAATTCTGTCTAGTCGTCTCTACTCTGAATTCTGTCTGGTCGTCTCTACCCTGAATTCTGTCTGGTCGTCTCTACCCTGAATTCTGTCTGGTCGTCTCTACCCTGAATTGTCTGGTCGTCTCTACCCTGAATTCTGTCTGGTCGTCTCTACCCTGAATTCTGTCTGGTCGTCTCTACTCTGAATTGTCTGGTCGTCTCTACCCTGAATTCTGTCTGGTCGTCTCTACCCTGAATTCTGTCTGGTCGTCTCTACTCTGAATTCTGTCTGGTCGTCTCTACCCTGAATTCTGTCTGGTCGTCTCTGCCCTGAATTCTGTCTGGTAGTCTCTGCTCTGAATTCTGTCTAGTCGTCTCTACTCTGAATTGTCTGGTTGTCTCTACTCTGAATTATGTCTGGTCGTCTCTACTCTGAATTCTGTCTGGTCGTCTCTACCCTGAATTCTGTCTGGTCGTCTCTACCTTGAATTCTGTCTGGTCGTCTCTGCCCTGAATTATGACTGGTCGTCTCTGCTCTGAATTCTGTCTGGTCGTCTCTGCTCTGAATTCTGTCTAGTCGTCTCTACTCTGAATTCTGTCTGGTCGTCTCTGCTCTGAATTCTGTCTGGTCGTCTCTACCCTGAATTCTGTCTGGTCGTCTCTACTCTGAATTCTGTCTGGTAGTCTCTACTCTGAATTCTGTCTGGTCGTCTCTACCCTGAATTCTGTCTGGTCGTCTCTACTCTGAATTCTGTCTGGTCGTCTCTACTCTGAATTGTCTGGTTGTCTCTGCTCTGAATTCTGTCTGGTCGTCTCTACCCTGAATTCTGTCTGGTCGTCTCTACTCTGAATTCTGTCTGGTCGTCTCTACCCTTAATTCTGTGTGGTCGTCTCTACCCTGAATTCTGTCTGGTCGTCTCTACTCTAAATTCTGTCTGGTCGTCTCTACCCTTAATTCTGTCTGGTCGTCTCTACCCTGAATTCTGTCTGGTCGTCTCTACTCTGAATTTTGTCTGGTCGTCTGTACTCTGAATTCTGTCTGGTCGTCTCTACTCTGAATTCTGTCTGGTCGTCTCTACCCTGAATTCTGTCTGGTCGTCTCTGCTCTGAATTCTGTCTGGTCGTCTCTACTCTGAATTCTGTCTGGTCGTCTCTACCCTGAATTCTGTCTGGTCGTCTCTACCCTGAATTCTGTCTGGTCATCTCTACTCTGAATTGTCTGGTCGTCTCTACCCTGAATTCTGTCTGGTCGTCTCTACCCTGAATTTTGTCTGGTCGTCTCTACTCTGAATTCTGTCTGGTCGTCTCTACCCTGAATTCTGTTTGGTCGTCTCTACCCTGAATTCTGTCTGGTCGTCTCTACCCTGAATTCTGTCTGGTCGTCTCTGCTCTGAATTCTGTCTGGTCGTCTCTACTCTGAATTGTCTGGTCGTCTCTACCCTGAATTCTGACTGGTCGTCTCTACCCTGAATTCTGTCTGGTAGTCTCTGCTCTGAATTCTGTCTAGTCGTCTCTACTCTGAATTGTCTGGTTGTCTCTACTCTGAATTCTGTCTGGTCGTCTCTACTCTGAATTCTGTCTGGTCGTCTCTACCCTGAATTCTGTCTGGTCGTCTCTACCCTGAATTCTGTCTGGTCGTCTCTGCTCTGAATTCTGACTGGTCGTCTCTGCTGTGAATTCTGTCTGGTCGTCTCTACCCTGAATTCTGTCTGGTCCTCTCTGCCCTGAATTCTGTCTGGTCGTCTCTGCTCTGAGTTCTCTTTGCACCGTCGCCGTACTTGTATTTGTTTAGATGTTGTCATCCTGGTGACTCCAGGTCACCATGAGACTCATCCCGGCCTCTTGTGTTCTGAGCCTTGATGGCTGTTTCCGTGCCATCCCCTGGGCCCCCCCCACCCCCCACCCAGCCTGGCCAGCGAGTGGCTGGAGGAGCCGGAGCCATACAACGCCAGCTACTACAAGCGTAGCCTCGACAATGCCGGCTTCGTCTACCGGGCGCCCACGCTCAAATGTACGGCCGTCACAGCCGTTGCCACGGCGGCTATCCACTCACTCACTCCCCACCACAACCACTATCCACTCACTCACTCCTCACCACAACCACTATCCACTCACTCACTCCTCACTACAACCACTATCCACTCACCCACTCCTCAACGCAACCACTATCGACACACTCGCTTCTCACCACAACCACTATCCACTCACTCCCCACCACAGCCACTATCCACTCACTCGCTTCTCACCACAACCACTATCCACTCACTCACTCCCCACCAAAACCACTATCCACTCACTCCCCACCACAACCACTATCCACTCACTCACTCCTCACCACAACCACTATCCACTCACTCACTCCCCACCACAACCACTATCCACTCACTCACTCCTCACCACAACCACTATCCACTCACTCGCTCCTCACCACAACCACTATCCACTCACCCACTCCTCAACGCAACCACTATCGACACACTCGCTTCTCACCACAACCACTATCCACTCACTCCCCACCACAGCCACTATCCACTCACTCGCTTCTCACCACAACCACTATCCACTCACTCACTCCCCACCAAAACCACTATCCACTCACTCCCCACCACAACCACTATCCACTCACTCACTCCTCACCACAACCACTATCCACTCACTCACTCCCCATCACAACCACTATCCACTCACCCACTCCTCACCACAACCACTATCCACTCACTCCCCACCACAACCACTATCCACTCACTCACTCCCCACCACAACCACTATCCACTCACTTCCCACCACAGCCACTATCCACTCACTCGCTCCTCACCATAGCAACTATCCACTCACTCACTCCCCATCACAACCACTATCCACTCACTCGCTCCCCACCACAGCCACTATCCACTCACTCGCTCCTCACCACACCAACTATCCACTCACTCACTCACTCCTCACCACAAGCACTATCCACTCACTCACTCCTCACCACAAGCACTATCCACTCACTCACTCCCCACTACAAACACTATCCACTCACTCCCCACCACAGCCATTATCCACTCACTCACTCCCCATCACAACCACTATCCACTCACTCACTCCTCACCACAACCACTATCCACTCACTCCTCACCACAACCACTATCCACTCACTCACTCCTCACCACAACCACTATCCACTCACTCACTCACTCCCCATCACAACCACTATCCACTCACTCCTCACCACAACCACTATCCACTCACTCGCTCCTCACCACAACCACTATCCACTCACTCGCTCCCCACAACAACCACTATCCACTCACTCACTCCTCACCACAACCACTATCCACTCACTCCTCACCACAACCACTATCCACTCACTCACTCCTCACCACAACCACTATCCACTCACTCACTCACTCCCCATCACAACCACTATCCACTCACTCCTCACCACAACCACTATCCACTCACTCGCTCCTCACCACAACCACTATCCACTCACTCGCTCCCCACCACAACCACTATCCACTCACTCGCTCCTCACCACAACCACTATCCACTCACTCACTCCCCACCACAACCACTATCCACTCACTCACTCCTCACCACAGCAAATATCCACTCACTCACTCCTCACCACAGCAAATATCCACTCGCTCACTCCCCATCACAACCACTATCCACTCACTCACTCCCCATCACAACCACTATCCACTCACTCACTCCTCACCACAGCAAATATCCACTCACTCACTCCCCATCACAACCACTATCCACTCACTCCTCACCACAACCACTATCCACTCACTCGCTCCCCATCACAACCACTATCCACTCACTCGCTCCCCACCACAGCCACTATCCACTCATTCCTCACCACAGCAACTATCCACTCACTCGCTCCTCACCACAGCAACTATCCACTCACTCGCTCCCCACCACAACCACTATCCACTCACTCACTCCTCACCACAGCAAATATCCACTCACTCCCCATCACAACCACTATCCACTCACTCCTCACCACAACCACTATCCACTCACTCGCTCCTCACCACAACCACTATCCACTCACTCGCTCCCCACCACAACCACTATCTACTCACTTCCCACCACAGCCACTATCCACTCACTCGCTCCTCACCACAACCACTATCGACTCACTCGCTCCCCACCACAACCACTATCTACTCACTCACTCCTCACCACAACCACTATCCACTCACTCGCTCCCCACCACAACCACTATCTACTCACTCACTCCTCACCACAACCACTATCCACTCACTCACTCCTCACCACAACCACTATCCACTCACTCACTCCTCACCACAACCACTATCCACTCACTCACTCCTCACCACAACCACTATCCACTCACTCACTCCCCATCACAACCACTATCCACTCACTCACTCCTCACCACAACCACTATCCACTCGCTCACGCCCGACCACAGCCACTATCCACTCACTCGCCACCACCACACCCGTCATGGAGGAGTCCTTAACGCCACGCAGTCTTTAACATCCACACACCGTGAGTTAAGCAGATGGTCGAGGAACTCGTTATTCTATTTGTTATCATCGTAATTTCCACCACGGTGGTTCCGTGGTTTCGATGAGGGCGCTGTGCTGCCGTGATGCCCGCGCTGTCGTTTTGCAGCTCCGCAGGGCAGCATCCTGTCGAGCCGGGCGATCGAGCTCACCTTCAACGAGCACACCCTGAAGCCCGCAGGTGAGCTGACGCACGCACCTGGCCCCCCCCCCCCCCCCACCCCACCGGTTCACAGCGGCCTTGTCGAGCCGCATAGATACCCATTGACTCACACAGAGACCCATAGACTCGCACAGAGCCATAGACTTACTCAGAGTGAGTGGTGATTAAGCTGGGTTAGTAAGCCTTTTAAATGTAGGGCTTGACATTAATGAACAATATATCAATAAATATCATTTAATAATTACTGGGCTTCAAGGGGACTGCTACTGCCTAGTTACGAGACATCTAATCGTAAACCAGTCTTTCGACTGGGCCTCAAATGAGTACCTGGTGCGGTGTGTGGTAAACATCACCACTGGGAAGACAAATGCGGCCGGGCGTGGTGCTGGCCACCCACCCCCTCGTGTGTCATGTCGGTCTTCATAGGTGGCACTTGCGGACAGCACTTGCCCCAACAGCCTGTTACAGGCTACACGGGGGATCTTTGTGTGTGTGTGCGCGCACACTTGGGGGAGCGGTAATGTCGTGGTTAGTGCACTGCCCCATGAACCCGGCAACTCGGATTTCAATTCCCGCTCACGGCCAACTTCGCCGACGAATATCGGAAACCGATCCTGGCCCTCGCTTAGGTCGACTCAGCCTCAAATGAGTCCCCGGCAACCACCGCCACCCGCCAACAGGACTTGCCCCAACATCCTGTTAATGCTACACGGGGGACCTCTGCCTTTGCTCGCGTGTGGCGCGCTGACTGTACCCCCCGCCCCGCCCCCCTCTCTCTCGGCGGCAGTCGTCGGGGTCAAGTTGGACGTCGAGGCCTGGACGTCAAAGTTCAAGATCCTGGCGACCAACCGCACGGCGGCGGGCGGCGGTGGCGGCGGCGGCCAGGACACGGTGAGCTGCGCCGCCTCGGCCTCCCGGGCCCCCACCCAACCTCCCCCCCCCCCCCCGCTGCCGTGGACCCCCGCAGGCCCCGCCGGTTGCGGCCACGAGGGCCTCCTCCTGCGGATTCCCCCAAAGCACCCCGGGAGGGCTGCTGCCGGCGTTGCACGGCACGACAAAGCGGACATCGCAGAGCTACCTCTGAGATCCCCTTCTTAGCGTGACATTCTGGTCCACACAGAACGACCCGCGGAAGTGGATATCAGAGAGCTACCTCTGAGATCCCCTTCTTAGCGTGACATTCTGGCCCACACAGAACGGAACACGTGGAAGTGGATATCACAGAGCTACCTCTGAGATCCCCTTCTTAGCGTGACATTCTGGCCCACACAGAACAGAACAGAACACGCGGAAGTGGATATCACAGAGCTACCTCTGAGATCCCCTTCCTAGCGTGACATTCTGGCCCACACAGAACGGAACACGCGGAAGTGGACATCACAGAGCTACCTCTGAGATCCCCTTCTTAGCGTGACATTCTGGCCCACACAGAACGGAACACGCGGAAGTGGATATCGCAGAGCTACCTCTGAGATCCCCTTCTTAGCGTGAGATTCTGGTCAACACGGAACGGAACGCGCGGAAGTGGATATCAGAGAGCTACCTCTGAGATCCCCTTCTTAGCATGACATTCTGGTCCACGCGGAACGCGCGGAAGTGGATATCACAGAGCTACCTCCGAGAGCCCTTCTCGTGGACTCAGTGAAGTTAGGGTTAGGGTTAAGGGCAGCATCCCCCCCACTCGCTCCGCCGTACGAGAGTAACAATACTCATCGCGTCACAGTCAAACCATCATCATCATCAGCTGATGATGATGGTTGTGGAGGAGAGGCCTCGTCTAGCAGTGGATATAGACACTGATGTTCCTAAAGGAGGTGGCTCTCCTTGTTTGGCTGTTGCTGTTGCTGATGATGAGCAGGGCTTCATCCAGCAGTGAGCATCCACTGGCTTCTGGTGTTCAGGGGGAGGAAGATTTCACTCAGTGCAGTGGTGGATAGAGCATCGCTCCTAATTGTGATGATGATGCTGCTGATGATGATGCTGCTGCTGAAGATGCTACTAATGATGATGCTGATGATGCTGCCGATGCTGCTGATGATGCTGCTGACGATGATGCTGTTGATAATGATGCTGCTGCTGATGATGATGTCGGGACACTGCAGTGGCAGGGAGAGGGCTGCCCTGGGGCGATATACAGAGCTGAGCCCTAATGAAGACGAAGACTTTATAGACCGGGAGTTTTAATTAATGGGGCTTTGCATTGGATTAGCGCGGGAAGGTGCCCTGTGTGGTGGGGGATGGGGGCGGGGGGCTCGTGGGGGGGGGGGGGGCGAACGTCACGCAAACAAACCGAGCCAAGCGCCCGCCGCTGGAAATTTCCGTCGCCAAATGTCAGCCGCTGCCTCTGCTTTATTTTGCGGGGCGCCCATCCCAAAAGGCCACGGCGCTCTCTGTTCTCATCGGCAGGCTTGACCTCGGAGACATTTGACGCTCGCCCGCTCGCTCGTTCCCCCGCCCGCTCGTCCGTTTGCTCACCCGCACGCTCCCCCGCCTGCTCACCCGCCTGCCTGTCCACTTGCTCGCTCGCTCGCTCGCTCACTTGCTCGCCCACTTACTCACCCGCTCTTTCCCCTGTCCGATCGCTTGCCCGCCTGCCCGGGGCTGCTATTCGACCTCGACACGTGCGGTGGATTTTTTTTTCTTTCTCCTGATGACGATCGCTTGTGCTGTGATCGAAATGTCGTAGTTGTTTTGTTATTTTCTTTTAACCGATCTACGTTACTTTACCGAACGACGCAAATAATATCTGTTGTGTGTTTGTTTATTTATTGATTTATTTCCGCGTGTCTGTATGGCACTGTGGCCGTGTGTCCGTGTGGGTGTGTCCTTATGTCCGTGTGTCCCTGTGTGTCTGTGTCTGTGTGTCCATCTGCACCCTTGTCTGTGCATCGGTGTGTCTGTGTATCGGTGTGTCTGTGTGTCTGTGTGTCCCTGTGTCTGTTTGTCTGTGTGTCTGTGTATTGGTGTGTCTGTGTATCGGTGTGTCTGTGTATCTGTGTGTCTGTGTATCGGTGTGTCTGTGTATCGGTGTGTCTGTGTATCGGTGTGTCTGTGTGTCTGTGTATCGGCGTGTCTGTGTGTCTGTGTGTGTCTGTGTGTCTGTGTGTCTGTGTATCGGTGTGTCTGTGTCTGTGTGTCTGTGTATTGATGTGTCTGTGTATCGGTATGTCTGTGTGTCTGTGTGTCTGTGTATTGATGTGTCTGTGTATCGGTGTGTCTGTGTGTCTGTGTGTCTGTGTATTGATGTGTCTGTGTATCCGTGTGTCTGTGTGTCCAGTGCGATGGCTTCAGGACGTACGGATCGAGCAGCTGTGAGATGGACTGCGAGGGCTCCAGCGAGGTGACTCTCGCCCGCGTGTGGAGCCGGTTCCATGACCACGGCTCCGGGTTTTACTTTGCTCTCCTGCCGTTGGACAGACAGACAAGCAGACAGTCGGACAGACGGTTGGATGGACGTCAAACAGATGGACAGATCGACGGTTAGACAGACGGACTGACTTTCAGACATACGCACAGGTGGACGGATGTACAAACGGTTGGACTGTCAGCGGAAGGTCGACCAGACGATTCATATTTAATTGTCTGTCCGTCCTTCTGACCGTCTGTCTGTGTGTCTGGCGTGCGTTGTTTGTCTGCGCAGGAGCTGCTCTGCGTCATCTTGGACGACGGGGGCTTCCTCGTCCTGTCCAACAACAAGGAGCACACGAACCTGGTGAGCGGCGAGCCGCCGGCATGCCGGCTCTCACCCGCTCGCACGCTCGCCCACCCACTCGGTCACTCATACACTCGCTCACCAGCTCACTCACTCGCTCGCTCGCTCACCCACCTGCTCACTCATTCACTTGCTCACTCACCTACCCACTCTCTGACTTATTCACTCATTCACCGACTCACTCGCTCGCTCACTCACCCACTCGCTCGCTCACTCATTTACTCACTCATTGGCTCATTCGCTCGCTCACTCACTCGCTCGCTCACTCATTTACTTGCTCACCGGCTCACAAGCTCACTCACTCACTCACCCACCCACTGGCTCGCTCATTCACTTTCTTATTGGCTAACTCGCTCGCTCACCCACCCACTCACTCAATCATTTACTCTTTCACCCACTGACTAAACCGACCGTTTACTTGCTCACTCATAAACTCACTCACCCACTCACTCGCTCACCCACCCACTCGCTCTCCCACCCACTCGCTCACCCACCCACTCATTTACTCCCTCACCCGCTCACAAGCTCGTTCAATTACCCACCCACTCGCTTGCTCAATTACTCGCTCACTCAATTACTCACTCAACCACTGGCCAGCCCAACCACTCACCTGTTCACTCATTTGTTCACTCACTCACCCAATCACGAGCTCGTTTGCTCACCCACCCACTCGCTCATTTACTCACTCACACACTCACTAGCCCATTCGCCCCTTCACTCGCGCATTCAGTCACTTGCTCGCTCGGTCATTCAACTGTTGATTGGCTCAATCAGTCGCTAGCTCTGATTGACCGCATGACCCAAATTGGCCGAATAATGATCTGCTTCTTGGTTCAGATGGCCGTGCGGGTGCAACGTTGATGTTTTAACCGCAGCCCTCCACCACCCAGCGACAGGGACGAGCAAATGAAGCTGTCGCGTCGTGGGTGGATGTGACAATCGATTTGGTTTCAACAGCAAAACCGTAGGAGCAGGAGATCCAACGTTAACGACCCCAAGCAACGTTTTTGAAAATTTTTATCAATGGGACCTTTTTTGCCATCATCAAAGTAAGAAAAATAACAATACAGTAGGTTTTACCCTTTCAGGCAAGATAACGGGTGTTAAGATGTAAAAAAAACAAATGGATACCTTTCGTAAAGAATCAAGTAATGCATCAACCATACATACTCGGCTCTTGCTCTGATCGACGTGCCCCCTTGTTTAATCAGGGCGACAAAACACTTGGGGCTCGCGTAGATGGCGCTGGAGCAAATTCATTTGGGGCCTGCGCCGAGGCGAGGAGGTCACTGACAAGCTCGCCAGTTGCCACCGGGATCGGGAGACCCTGGAGGGATTATCCGTAGGGAGATTCAGAGGGAGATTTAGAGGAAGATTTGGAGGGAGATTCGGAGAGAGATCCGGAGGGAGATTTGGAGGGAGATTCGGAGAGAGATCCGGAGGGAGATTCGGAGGGAGATTTGGAGGGAGATTTAGAGGGAGATTTAAAGGGAGATTTAGAGGGAGATTTAGAGGGAGATTCGGAGGGAGATTCGGAGGGAGATTCGGAGGGAGATTCGGAGGGAGATTCGGAGGGAGATTTAAAGGGAGATTTAGAGGGAGATTTAGAGGGAGATTCAGAGGGAGATTTAAAGGGAGATTCAGAGGGAGATTTAGAGGGAGATTCAGAGGGAGATTTAAAGGGAGATTCAGAGGGAGATTTAGAGGGAGATTTGGAGGGAGATTTGGAGGGAGATTCGGAGGGAGATTCGGAGGGAGATTCGGAGGGAGATTCGGAGAGAGATCCGTAGGGAGATTCAGAGGGAGATTTAGAGGGAGATTTGGAGGGAGATTCGGAGAGAGATCCGGAGGGAGATTTGGAGGGAGATTCGGAGAGAGATCCGGAGGGAGATTCGGAGGGAGATTTGGAGGGAGATTTAGAGGGAGATTTAAAGGGAGATTTAGAGGGAGATTCGGAGGGAGATTCGGAGGGAGATTCGTAGGGAGATTCGGAGGGAGATTTAAAGGGAGATTTAGAGGGAGATTTAGAGGGAGATTTAGAGGGAGATTCAGAGGGAGATTTAATGGGAGATTCAGAGGGAGATTTAGAGGGAGATTCAGAGGGAGATTTAAAGGGAGATTCAGAGGGAGATTTAGAGGGAGATTTGGAGGGAGATTCGGAGGGAGATTCGGAGGGAGATTCGGAGAGAGATCCGGAGGGAGATTCGGAGGGAGATTCGGAGGGAGATTCGGAGGGAGATTTAAAGGGAGATTTAAAGGGAGATTCAGAGGGAGATTTAGAGGGAGATTCGGAGGGAGATCCGGAGGGAGATCCGGAGGGAGATCCGGAGGGAGATTCAGAGGGAGATTCAGAGGGAGATTCAGAGGGAGATTCAGAGGGAGATTCAGAGGGAGATTCAGAGGGAGATTCAGAGGGAGATTCAGAGGGAGATTCAGAGGGAGATTCAGAGGGAGATTCAGAGGGAGATTCAGAGGGAGATTCAGAGGGAGATTCAGAGGGAGATTCAGAGGGAGATTCAGAGGGAGATTCAGAGGGAGATTCAGAGGGAGATTCAGCTGGAGATGCGAAGAGAGGGTGGTGTGGAGGACAGATGAGAGGGCGGCTTGCCACGAGAAACAAGGGGGCAGAAAGAGATGGATAAGCCAATGCCGCTCAACCTCGTCCAGACCACCAGCTCGGCACAACCGAATGCGTGTGGTCATGTTGCCGTTAATCATAATAATAGTATTTATACGTAATGCACGTTACCCATGAGCTATGAAGCTCTTTTCCACAGACGGCAGCGGTGACGCAATAATGCAGCTGCACTCCACATCAGGCCGCTAGACGGATGACTACCGTACTGATGAGTCCTAACGAGAGCGATACTGGTCGACGCCGGCGCCTGTTGGGATGGTGGTCAGCACTGACGAGTTCTCACCACGACGACGACGATACTCCGATGGTTTTGGTTCAGGCTCGCCGGGCCGTCCCGTTGCACGAGCCGGAGACCGTCGAACCCTGGCCAGGCACGCGGCTCCACCGAGCCCCCCCCCCTCACCGCCTCAGAGGGGCTAAGCGGGCGAACGCGACGTCGCAACGACGCGGTTTGTGACGCGCCCGCCGCTCCGACCTTTCCCTCCGCCGTCGTGCGTAGCCCGCTGGGGGGAGGGGGGGAAGGGCGTCACGGAAGCCGCTTGTTGCGAGCGCGTCGCTCACGTGCACACCTTGTCTTCCTCCACCTCGACCCTGACCTTTGCCCTGACCCTCAATGCTGGTTTCAACCGTGACCCCCAACTCTGACCTCCAACACTGACCCCCAACACTGACCCCCAACTCTGACCCCCAACACTGACCACCCCCAACTCTGACCTCCAAATCTGACCCCCAACTCTGACCCCCAACTCTGACCCCCAACTCTGACCCCCAACTCTGACCCCCAACACTGACCCCCAACTCTGACCACCCCCAACACTGACCTCCAACTCTGACCCCCAACTCTGACCCCCAACACTGACCCCCAACTCTGCCCGCAACTCGGGCCCCGTCCCCTGAATTCTACACTCACCCCGACCCTGATGACAACACTGACCACAACTCTGACTTGAATCCCAACCACGACCTGACTTGAACCCTGTCCTCAACCCCAACCACGGCCTGACCCCCCAACCCTGATCCTAACCCTTAACCCCAACACCTGATTCCAACACTGACTACAACCCTGACCCGAATCCCATCCACGACCTTACCTGAACCCTGACCCCAATCCCAACCCTGACCCCGACCGTGACCCCCGACCCCCGGGAGCAGTTGGGCAGCTTCTTCGGCACGATCGACGGTGCCCTCATGTCGGCGCTCTACAACGCCTCGCTCTACGCCAAGGTGGAGTCCTTCGACTACCAGTCGGTGTGTGGGCCCCGGCGGGCCAACACCTCGGCCTCCACGGCAACGCACCTCCACACGGTATCCCAACCCCCACACGGTACACCCACATGGTACCACCACCCGGTACACCCACACGGTCACCCCCAACCGCACCCCCACATGGTACCCCCACACGGTCACCCCAACCGCTACACAGTAAGGGCCCCCCTGGGTTCGATTTCCGCTCACGGCCAACACCAGTGGCGATTATCTGAACCGGTCCTGGGCCTCCCCTCGCTCGACTCAGCCTCACTTGAGTACCTGGTGTGGTGTGTAAACATCGCCACTGGGGAGACAAAGGCGGCCGGGCGTGGTGCTGGCCACCGTCCCCCCCTCGTGCGCCGTTTTGTCCTTCATAGGCGCTGCACGTGAACAGCACTTGCCCCTCCACCCTGTTGAAGGCTACACGGGGGATCTTTGTCTTGGTGTGTCCCTTCTCACAGCCCAGTCTCGTGGACCTCGTCAACCTCGCCTGGTGGTCCACGGCGGCTCTGTGGTAAGACACCGTGAGGTCACGCACACACACACACTACACACACACTACACACACACTACTCACACACTACACACACACTACACACACTACACACACACTACACTACACACACTACACACACACTACACACACACTACACACACTACACATACACTACACACACACTACACACACACACTACACACACACTACACACACACTACACACACACACTACACACACACACTACACACACACACTACACACACACACTACACACACACACACTACACACACACTACACACACACACTACACTACAGAGACACTACACTACACACACTGCACACTACACTACACACACACTACACACACACACCACACACACACACTACACTACACACACTACACACTACAATACACACACTGCACATTACACTACACACACTACACACACACTACACACACTACACACACACTACACACACACACTACACACACACTACACTACACAGACACTACACTACACACACTACACACACACTACACACACACTACACTACACAGACACTACACTACACACACCACACACACACTACACACTACACACACTACACACACACACTACACACACTACACACACACACTACACACACACCACACACACACTACACTACACACACACTACACACACACACTACACACACACACTACACTACACACACACTACACTACACACACTACACACTACAATACACACACTGCACATTACACTACACACACTACACACACACACACTACACACACACACTACACACACACTACACTACACAGACACTACACTACACACACTACACACACACACTACACACACACTACACTACACAGACACTACACTACACACACCACACACACACTACACACTACACTACACACACTACACACACACACTACACACACACACTACACACACTACACACACACACTACACACACACTACACACACACACTACACTACACACACACACTACACACACTACACACACACTACACACACACTACACACACACACTATACACACACTACACTACACACACTACACACAAACACTACACACACACTACACACACCACTACACACACACACTATACACGCACACTACACACACACACTATACACGCACACTACACACACACACACACTACACACACACTACACACACACTACACACACACTAAACACACACTACACACACACTACACTACACACACTACACACACACTACACTACACACACTACACACACACTACACACACTACACACACACTACACTACACACACTACACTATACACACTACACTACACACACTACACACACACTACACTACACACACTACACACACACACTACACACACGCACTACACACACTACACACACACTACACACACTACACACACACTACACACACTACACACACACACTACACACACTACACACACACACTACACACACTACACACACACACTACACACACACTACACGCTACACACACACTACACACACACTACACACACTACATACACACTACACACACACTACACACACACACTACACACACACACTACACACACTACACTACACACACTACACACACTACACTACACACACTACACTACACACACTACACACACTACACACACTACAAACACTACACACACACACTACACACACACGCTACACTACACACTACACACACACTACACTACACACACTAAACACACAAACACACACTACACACACACACACTACACACACAAACACACACACACTACACACACACTACACACACACACTACACACACTACACACACTACACACTACACACACTACAAACACTACACACTACACACACACTACACACACTACACACACACTACACACACACTACACACTACACACACACTACACACACGCACTACACACTACACACACACACTACACTGCACACACTACACACACACTACACTACACACACTACACACACTACACTACACACACTACACACACACTACACTACACACTGCACACACACATTACACGCACACTACACACACACACTACACTCCACACACTACACACACACACTACACACACACTACACACACACTACACACACACACTACACTACACACACTACACACACACACTACACACACACTACACACACTACACACACACTACACTACACAATGCACACACACACTACACACACACTACACAACACACACCACACATACACCACACACACACCACACACACACACCACACACACACACCACACACACCACACACACCACACACACACCACACACACCACACACACCACACACACACCACACATACACACCACGCACACCACACACACCACACACACACCACACACACCACACACACAGTCTCTAACTCTCTCAACATCACCACGCGTTTAGAGTCTTGGGCTGCTATCAATGTCCACGTGATAATTCGTCACTTCGTTGAGCTATCATTTGTGATGGCCAGCTCGCTTCTGAATAAGAGCTGTACAGCCTTACCTGGTAAAATATCATCGATTCAAGGATGTAGGTCGTGGTCAAGGTTAGGGGTTAAACGATGGGGTCACGGTTAAAAGTTGAGGCCGTGTGCCGAGGAGTGGGAAGAATGTTGACAGGCTCCGTGAACAATCGTGTATGGTGGCACTGGGCAGTTGTGTGCACGTGTGTGTGAGTGCGTGCATGTCTGCGTGTTTGCACGTGTGTGTGTGTACGTGTTTGTGTGTGTGTGCGTGCTCGCGAGTGTGAGCTTGTGTGTGTTTGTGCGTGGTGCTGGCCACACCACGCCCTCGTGTGCTTGCTAACAGCACTTGCCCCAGCAGTCTGCTGAGGCTATATGGGGGATATTTGTCTTTGTACATGTCCGTGCGTGTGTCACTCAACCCGCAGGTCCCTGCTGCAGCAGCTGCTCTTCTCCCTGCTTCTGGGCACCACAGAGTACAGCGGTGCGTGTGTGTGTGTGTGTATGTGTGTGTCTGTGTGTGTGTCTGTGTGTCTGTATGTGTGTGTGTGTCTGTATGTATGTGTGTGTGTCTGTGTGTCTGTGTGTGTGTCTGTGTGTGTATGTGCCTGTGTGTGTGTGTCTGTGTGTGTGTGTCTGTGTGTGTGTGTCTGTGTGCGCGTGTGTCTGTGTGTGTGTGTCTGTGTGTGTGTGTGTGTCTGTGTGCGTGTGTGTCTGTGTGCGTGTGTGTGCGTGTGTGTCTGTGTGCGTGTGTGTGTGCCTGTGTGTCTGTGAGCGTGTGTGTGCCTGTGTGCCTGTGTGTCTGTATGTGTCTGTGTGTGTGCGTGTTTGTCTGTGTGCATGTGTGTGCGTGTGTGTCTCTGTGCATATGTGAGCATGTGTGTCTGTGTGCGTGTGTGTCTGTGTGTGTCTGTGTGCGTGTGTGTGCCTGTGTGTCTGTGTGCGTGTGTGTGCGTGTGTCTGTGTGGGTGTGTGTCTGTGTGTGTGTGTCTGTGTGCGTGTGTGTGCAGTCCGGCAAAACAACCCCCTACCTCCTCGCGGTGCCGGACGGGCAACTCTGTCTTGGACAGGGCTGTGGGGGGAGGTCCAATTCCGATTGGCTCCTCCTCTCATGGCGTGTGTGACCACCAGAGGGGCTAAACGGGGGCTCTGGATAGGTGCGAGGGGCTGGTAACCCCTCCACCTTCAAAAATTTACCACTAAACCATGCCTAAAATATCTACCTAATAAGCTTGTGCTGGAGGCCCCGAGGGGATAGGCGTCTATGACGTCTCCTGGCCAAACCCCAATTGGCGGAGCCAGGAGATTGAATCTCTACCCTCGGGGCTCCTCCAGAAACAAGTAAAAGCCACTACGTGTGGCCACGTGGAATGTTCGAACGCTCACTGCGGAGGAGAGGCTGCCACTCCTCTGTCAGGAGCTGGACCGGTACCGCCTGGAATTCTTGCATTCAGGAGGTCCGGTGGACCAGTTCTGGCTCCTGCCACCATGAGGGGTGGACAGTCCTCTACTCGGGGCAGCAGACTGCCAAACAACAGGGTGTGGCTATTCTTATGAACAAAAGAATGAAGGGGGTGTGGGAGCGTGGCAGTGAGGTGTGGGAAGCTGTAATCCCCAGGCTACTTTGGGCTCGCCTTCCCATCAATCGGAGGTGAGGAGTGGTGGTTGTGGTTACTTATGCTCCCACCGAAGACGAACATCCGTGGAAGGATGGAGGCAAAGCCGATGAGTCAGATGCCTTCTATGACCTCCTGTCACAGGTGCTGGCTAAAGTGGCCCCTCGGGATAGAGTCATCTTGTTGGGTAACTTCAATGCCCGAGTGGGTCATGATGCTGGCACCTGGTCTGGAGTGATTGTAGGGCATGGGCCAGATCAGCTCAATAACAACGGTAGGAGGATGCTAGATTTTTCTGCAGCCCATGGGCTTATAATTACCAACACGCTGTTCCGGCATCGGCGTATCCACACAACATCATGGATGCATGCCGGGTCCAAGCAAGAACATCTGCTGGACTACATAGTGACGGACCAGCGGATGCGAGCCCATGTCCTTGACACCAGGACCTACCGTGGAGCTGATCTGCCCTCTGACCATCGACTTGTCATCTGTAAGATGCGCCTGCCATTCTTCCGCTCCGGTGGTGGGTGTACACCCAGGACCCCATTCCAACCTAAAGTGGCCTAGTCTCAGTTATCTGATGAAAGTTGCAAGCGAGAATTTCAGCATCGCCTGCGGCTGGGGTTGGCATCGTCCCCCACTCCTGATGTCGAGTGTAAATGGGCAAGGTTTAGAACTGTCACTCATGCAGCTGCATTGGCTGCTTTGGGTACGCGGTCCAGACCTCCCCAGAGACCCTGGCTGACAGAGGAGGTGTTCAGGATAGTTGAGAAAAAGCGACAAGCCCACTGTCATCGGCTACAGAATCCCACGTCAGAGAATGAGGAGGCTTACCGCAGCCTTCGCTCGGAAGTTCGGAGAGCCGTGAGGCACTGCAAGGATGGGTGGTGGTCGCAGGTTGCTGAGGAGATGGAGTCTACCTCAGTGGCCCGCGATCACAAATCTCTTTTTAACTCCATAAAAAAGTAACCTTCAGCGCCACACCTATTTCCATCATTAGGAGAAAAAATGGTGATCCAATCTCTGATCGCCAGGAACAGGTTTGCAGATGTGCTGAGCATTTCTGTGAGGTCCTGGGGGATGGAAAATCCCTCCACCAGGAAAACATCGTGGCACAAAGTGAGGATGACCCTGCTGAGGCTGCGGTGCCTCAAATATTGGAAGAAGTACCCCCCTGTGAGTGGCTGGCTGAAGGCGATCCGGAGTCTGAGACCAGGAAAGGCAGCGGGCAGAGATGATCTCCCAAGCGAAATGCTGAGGGAGGGTGGCGTTTGTGCACAGACTGCCCTATATGACATCATAACAACAGTCTGGACCACTGGACGGGTTCCGCAGGATTGGAAGGATGCCCTGGTGGTCCCCGTCTTTAAGAAGGGGGACGGGCACAGACTGTAACAACTACAGGGGCATCTCACTCCTCAGTGTGCCGGGAAAGGTCCTGGCAAGGATTATTCAACATCGCCTTGCCAGGCACGCTGAAGAGAGGCTTGCAGAGCTCCAATGCGGTTTCAGGAAAGGGCGGTCCTGCAAAGATGCCATATTTTCTGTCCGTCTGCTACAGCAGAGGTGTAGGGAATTCCAGCAAGACCTACATCTCTGCTTTATTGACCTGGTCAAGGCCTATGATACCATCAGTAGGCCTGGGCTCTGGGTTGTTCTTCGTGCTTTTGGAGTACCTGACCCTCTGCTCACGATCATTAAGGACCTTCATGATGGTAAGCGGGCCCGGGTAAAACTACGTGGCTGGGAGTCAGAGCCATTCCCTGTACACCTTGGGGTGCGACAGGGATGTCCTCTGGCTCCCACATCATTTAACATCCCTTTTGACCACGTAGTTCGTGAAGCCTTCAATAGCTGTACCGGGGGAATCTGCATACGGTACAGATACAATGGGAGGCTGATCGATACCCGGGTGCGGTCAAGGGATGGCTCCCTATTGCTCAACCACATTATGTATGCCGATGATTTTGTAATAGCTGCAGAGGTCTCACTCCGAATCCGTCGAGCGGCAATATCTTTTCATCGGTTGCGTAACGCTATGTGGAAGCTACCTGGTCTGTCGCTCCACACTAAGCTTCAGGTCTTCTCGGCCACAGTCATTCCCTCCCTTCTCTACTCTTGCGAAACGTGGACCCCCCTAATGGAACATCTTCGCCGGTTAGAAACATTTAGGCTGGTCTGCCTACGATCCATCCTAGGTTTAATCAGGCTGGATTGTGTGAGGAGCTCACAAATTCTTGAAAGATCTGGGCAAGGTCCCATTGGTGAGCTCCTCCGGCAAGCAAGGCTGCGTTGGCTGGGTCATGTAGCCTGTATGCCCAGCCACCGCATGCCGAAACAGCTTTTGTTCGGCCGGATCGAGGGGGCTAAACGGGCGCGGCACGGGCTAGAGAAGAGATTGAGTGATGTGGTACAGGAGGACGTGGAGCTGAGTGGACTTGCCGATGACTGATACCAGTGGTGTCAAGATCGGCCTCTGTGGAGGAGGCTTGTGATGGACGTTACTGGGCAGTTGGAGGCAGTCGCCCTCCAACAACAACGGAGGGCGGAGGAGCGATGCTCACAACAACGAGCGGAGTGCCGGGTGGCTAAAGCACAGCAGGTTGACACAGTAGGGGGCACAAGTGGTGCATCAGTTAGTCGTCTCAGTCATCTTAGTCAGTCGACCCGTGGCACTTGGGTCTGGCCCGTGACCTCCTGCCCGTGGGCGTTCCACATTTCACGTGGCCTCAAGGTGCACATGGCCTGGCACATGCGTCGTGGTGACGTCACCGCCACTTAGTGGCGAATGGCGGTTATTGTTGTTGTTGTTGTTGTGTGTGCCTGTGTGTCTGTGTGTGTCTGTGTGAGTGTGTGTGCCTTTGTGTCTGTGTGTGTCTGTGCGTGTGTGTGCCTGTGTGTCTGTGTGCTTGTGTGTGCCTATGTGTCTGTGTGCGTGCGCGTCTGTGTGTGTGCATGTGTGCCTGTGTGCGTATGTGTGCGTGTGCGTCTGTGTGCATGTGTGTGCGTGTGTGTCTGTGTGCGTGTATGTGCGTGTGTGTCTGTGTGCGTGTGTATGCGTGTGTGTCTGTGTGCGTGTGTGTGCGTGTGTATCTGTGTGCGTATGTGTGCGTCTTTGTCTATGTGCATGTGTGTGCGTGTGTGCATGTTTGTCTGTGTGTGTGCGTGTGTGTCTGTGTGTGTGCGTGTGTGTCTGTGTGCGTCTGTGTGCGTGTGTGTCTGTGTGCGTGTTTGTCTATGTGCATGTGTGTGCGTGTTTGTCTCTGTGTGTGCGTGTGTGTCTGTGTGTGTGCGTGTGTGTCTGTGTACGTCTGTGTGCGTGTGCCTGCATGTGTGTCTGTGTGTCTGTGTGTGTGTGCCTGTGTGGGAGCGCTGGTGTAGTGGTTAGCACGCCGTGCTACAAACCCGGCAAGCCGATTTCGATTCTGCTATTAAAATCCTGCTCACGGCCAACATCTGTGAACCGTACATGGGCTTCCTCTTGGTCGACTCAGCCTTAAATTACGTCATGATGCAATGTGTAAGCATCAGCACATTGCACCACGAAGTCAACCAGGTCATGGTGTCCTGGTTGAACTATCGGTGCCCGCTTGCTCGCTCGCCCACCAGCTCTCTTATCCGCCTGCTCGCTCGCCCACCTGCTTGCTTGCCCACCTGCTCGCTCGCTCACCTGCTCTTATCACCCGCCTACTCGCTCGCCCACCTCCTCCCGCGTCCACCTCTTCGCTCACCCACCCGCCCGCCCGCCCGCTCACCCTCCATTCTTCCCGCCGGCGTGCGTGCTCAGAACCGGCGTCTGCGTTCTGGACAGACTACGCGGACCAAGTGAGCTGCGTCACCCTGCAGACCCAGTTCTACTTCCCCAACAACGAAACCTCCTTCCACCAGCTCATCGACTGCGGCAACTGCTCCCGGTACTCCGAGCAACACGGACTGCAGTTCGTCACCATCGTCATCGTCACCATCGTCATCACGATCACATCCACCCACTCACCAACTCACTCACCCACTCACACGTGCATTCACCCACTCACCAACTCAATCACCCACTCACACATGCATTCACCCACTCACCAACTCAATCACCCACTCACACGTGCATTCACCCACTCACCAACTCACTCACCCACTCACACGTGCATTCACCCACTCACCAGCTCACTCATCCACTCACACGCGCATGCACCCACTCACCAATTCACTCACCCACTCACACATGCATTCACTCACTCACCAACTCACTCACCCACTCACACATGCATTCACCCACTCACCAGCTCACTCATCCACTCACACGTGCATTCACCCACTCACCAACTCACTCACCCACTCACACGTGCATTCACTGACTCGCCAACTCACTCACCCACTCACACATGCATTCACTCACTCACCAACTCACTCACCCACTCACACATGCATTCACTCACTCACCACCTCACTCACCCACTCATACATGTATTCACCTACTCACTCACCCGCCCACACGTGCATTCACTCCTTCATCAACTCACTTACCCACTCATACATGCATTCACCCACTCACCAACTCACTCATCCACTCACACGTGCATTCACTCACCAACTCACTCATCCATTCACACGTGCATTCACCCACTCACCAACTGACTCACCCACTCACACGTGCATTCACCCACTCACCAACTCACCCACTCACACGTGCATTCACCCACTCACCAGCTCACTCACCCACTCACACGTGCATTCACCCACTCACCAACTCACTCATTCACTCACACGTGCATTCACTCACTCACCAACTCATTCATCCACTCACACTTGCATTCACCCACTCACCAACTCACTCTCCCACTCACACGTGCATTCACCCACTCACCAACTCACTCACACACACTCACACGTGCATTGACTCATTCACCAACTCACTCTCCCACTCACACATGTATTCACCCACCGACCAACTCACTCACACACACTCACACGTGCATTGACTCATTCACCAACTCACTCTCCTACTCACACATGTATTCACCCACCGACCAACTCACTCACACACACTCACACGTGCATTGACTCATTCACCAACTCACTCTCCCACTCACACGTGCATTCACCCACCGACCAACTCACTCACACATGCATTCACTCACTCACCAACTCACTCATCCACTCACACACGCACTCACCCACTCACTCACTCACCCACTCACGAACTCGCCTACTCACCGATCCACTCACTCATCAATTCACTCACACATTCACTGGCAGGAGGTCACGGGACAGACCCAGGTGCCATCGGTTAACTGACTGCGATTACTCACAGATCGCATCCATGTGCATGAATACAAAGATCCCCCGTGTAGCCTTAACCGACTGTTGGGCAAGTGCTGTTAGCGAGCAACTAATAAGACCGGCACGGCACACGAGGGGGTGCGTGGCCAACACCACGCTCGGCCGCCTTTGTCTCCCTTGTGGCGATGTTTACGCATCGCACCAGGTATTCATTTGAGGCTGAGTCGACCTATGAGATGCCCAAGACCGGTTCAGATAATCGTCACTGGTGGTTGCCATGAGCGAGAATCGAACCTGGGTCGCCGGGTTCGTAGCGCAGCATAGCGCTAACCACTACACTACTGCTCCCCACACACAAGCACACACTCAGGCACACACACCCGCACATGCACACACACCCGCACACACATTCACACACACGTGCATATGCACCAACACACATACAGACGCACCTACACACACACGCGCACACGCACCTACACACATACAGACGCACCTACACACACACACGCGCACACGCACCTACACACACGCGCACACGCACCTACACACATACAGACGCACCTACACGCGCACACACACCTACACACATACAGACGTACCTACACACACACACGCGCACACGCACCTACACACATACAGACGCACCTACACGCACACACGCGCACACGCACTTACACACATACAGACGCACCTACACACACACATGCGCAAATGTAAAGTTTCTGCCGTCTCAGGAATTGGAATGAGGTCCCCAGAGCGTGGCCGTGCTCCCTGCGGGAGCGCTGGTGGCGGCCCAGCTTGTTAGAGCTGCCACGGCCACAGGAGGGGGGGGGGGTGGGGGGATGAACACCACTCAGACTCTGGATCGTCTGACGGATGGATGGACAGGTGGATGGATAGGTGGACAATTAGATGGGCAGATAGATTGGTGGACAGATGGACGGGTTGGATGGATGGGTGGATTAATAGGTGGGCGAATGTACAGACAGGTGGACACTTATACAGGAAGATGGGTGGGTGGACGGACAGATTGGCAGATTAACAGATGGAAAGACACATGGCCAAGCATACAGGAAGACACATAAACAAATAGATAGACAGAGTGACGAATGGACAGATTAAAGCATGGGCAGGTCTACGGTCCACACAGACACACACACACATTCAGGCACACGGACAACAAAGAGACAGACGTACGTACATAGAGTCACGCACGGGTGACAGACACGGGCAGGAACGGACGCGGCAGACGGGCGCACACGCCGGGATGCAGGCCGCCTTCATTGCGAGCTTCTGCAGCTGGGGTCGAAGGTCAGAGGAGCCCAATAACCCATCCGTCAGAGCGGTAGGTCACGCGCATTAACGAGGATCGATCCCCCCCCCACCCCTTCCCCATCGCTGTCCCCTCACAACCCCCAACGTCCCGCGCCGTGGACGCCGAGAGGCTCACCTGCCCGGGGTGGAGGAACGGTCGATAAATAATAACTAAGTAACTAAATAAAATAATAACTAAATGAAAAAACCCTGGAGCGATCGTGGCCCCCCCGGGCGATGGGACTGGACGACGCGCCCGCCCCCCATCGATCTTCCCCAGGTGCCACCACCGCCGTTGATGGAGGAGACGACAGAGGAGGAGGCTGTCGATGAATTCAATCAGGCGGACCGCACGTGGGTCTCACGTGGGTATAGCGTGGGCCTAGCGTAGGTCTAGCGTGGGTCTAGTGTGGGTCTAGTGTGGGTCTAGCGTGGGTCTAGCGTGGGTTTCACGTGGGTCTAGCGTGGGTCTAGTGTGGGTCTAGAGTGGGTCTCACGTGGGTATAGCGTGGGTCTAGCGTGGGTCTAGTGTGGGTCTAGCGTGGGTCTCGCGTGGGTCTAGCGTGGGTCTAGTGTGGGTCTAGCGTGGGTCTAGCGTGGTTCTCACGTGGGTCTAGCGTGGGTCTCATGTGGGTCTAGAGTGGGTCTCACGTGGGTATAGCGTGGGCCTAGCGTAGGTCTAGCGTGGGTCTAGTGTGGGTCTAGCGTGGGTCTCATGTGGGTCTAGCATGGGTCTCATGTGGGTCTCACGTGGGTCTAGCGTGCGCCTAGTGTAGGTCTAGCGTGGGTCTAGTGTGGGTCTAGCGTGGGTCTAGCATGGGTCTCATGTGGGTCTCATGTGGGTCTAGCATGGGTCTCATGTGGGTCTCATGTGGGTCTAGCATGGGTCTCATGTGGGTCTCACGTGGGTCTAGCGTGCGCCTAGCGTAGGTCTAGCGTGGGTCTAGTGTGGGTCTAGCGTGGGTCTAGCGTGGGTCTCACGTGGGTCTCATGTGGGTCTAGCATGGGTCTCATGTGGGTCTAGCGTGGGTTTAGCGTGGGTCTAGCGTGGGTCTCACGTGGGTCTCATGTGGGTCTAGCGTGGGTCTCATGTGGGTCTAGCGTGGGTCTAGCGTGGGTCTAGCGTGGGTCTCATGTGGGTCTAGCGTGGGTCTAGCGTGGGTCTAGCGTGGGTCTCACGTGGGTCTAGCGTGGGTCTCGCGTGGGTCTAGCGTGGGTCTAGCGTGGGTCTCGCGTGGGTCTAGCGTGGGTCTCACGTAGGTCTAGCGTGGGTCTCACGTGGGTCTAGCGTGGGTCTAGTGTGGGTTTCACGTGGGTCTAGCGTGGGTCTAGTGTGGGTCTAGAGTGGGTCTCACGTGGGTCTAGCGTGGGTCTAGCGTGGGTCTAGTGTGGGTCTAGCGTGGGTCTCATGTGGGTCTAGCGTGGGTCTAGCGTGGGTCTAGCATGGATCTCACGTGGGTCTAGCGTGGGTCTAGCGTGAGTCTCACGTGGGTCTAGCGTGGGTCTCACGTGGGTCTAGCATGGGTCTCACGTGGGTCTAGCGTGGGTCTAGCGTGGGTCTAGCATGGATCTCACGTGGGTCTAGCGTGGGTCTAGCGTGAGTCTCACGTGGGTCTAGCGTGGGTCTCACGTGGGTCTAGCGTGGGTCTCACGTGGGTCTAGCGTGGGTCTAGCGTGGGTCTCACGTGGGTCTCACGTGGGTCTAGCGTGGGTCTAGCATGGGTCTCACGTGGATCTAGCGTGGGTCTCACGTGGGTCTAGCGTGGGTCTAGCGTGGGTCTAGTGTGGGTCTGGCATGGGTCTCATGTGGGTCTAGCGTGGGTCTAGCATGGGTCTCATGTGGGTCTAGCGTGGGTCTAGCGTGGGTCTAGCGTGGGTCTCACGTGGGTCTAGCGTGGGTCTCATGTGGGTCTAGCGTGGGTCTAGCGTGGGTCTAGCGTGGGTCTCACGTGGGTCTAGCGTGGGTCTAGCGTGGGTCGAGCGTGGGTCTCACGTGGGTCTAGCGTGGGTCTCACGTAGGTCTAGCGTGGGTCTCACGTGGGTCTAGCGTGGATCGAGTGTGGGTCTCACGTGGGTCTAGCGTGGGTCTAGCGTGGGTTTCACGTGGGTCTAGCATGGGTCTAGTGTGGGTCTCACGTGGGTCTCCCGTGGGTCTAGCGTGGGTCTCACGTGGGTCTAGCGTGGGTCTAGCGTGGGTTTCACGTGGGTCTAGCGTGGGTCTAGCGTAGGTCTCACGTGGGTCTAGCATGGGTCTAGCGTGGGTCTCACGTGGGTCTAGCGTGGGTCTAGCGTGGGTCTAGCGTGGGTCTAGTGTGAGTCTAGCGTGGGTCTCACGTGGGTCTAGCGTGGGTCTCACGTGGGTCTCACGTGGGTCTCATGTGGGTCTCACGTGGGTCTAGCGTGGGTCTAGCGTGGGTCTAGCGTGGGTCTCATGTGGGTCTCACGTGGGTCTAGCGTGGGTCTCACGTGGGTCTCACGTGGGTCTCATGTGGGTCTCACGTGGGTCTAGCGTGGGTCTAGCGTGGGTCTAGCGTGGGTCTCATGTGGGTCTAGCTTGGTTCTCGCGTGGGTCTCGCGTGGGTCTCACGTGGGTCTAGCGTGGGTCTCATGTGGGTCTAGCGTGGGTCTAGCGTGGGTCTAGCGTGGGTCTCACATGGGTCTCATGTGGGTCTAGCGTGGGTCTAGCGTGGGTCTCACATGGGTCTCATGTGGGTCTAGCGTGGTTCTCGCGTGGGTCTCGTGTGGGTCTCACGTGGGTCTATCGTGGGTCACACTGAGACGTTGCTCCTTGTGCGTGAAACAACATTGTGTACCCCATAGGGCTCTATTTGAATCTATGGGTCTCTATTTTAGTCTATCGGTCTATAGATGTCTCAGGATGTCCATGTATGGCGAGATATCTATATATGTGTATGAGTCTCTATGTGAGGTTTTCGGTCTTATATGCGCCTCTGGGTCTGTAGATTTTACTGGATCTCTGTGTGAGTCTAACGGTCTTTGCGTGAGTCTATGGGTTTCTACATGAGTCTAGGTGTCTCTGTGTAGAATCATGCTCAGTGGGCATAAACTCAGTACCATGCAAACCGGAACCTCACACCCACTCGTTCGCCCGCCACAGAATGGCATCATCTTCAGCGTTGATACCCAGCTGACGATGCGCCCCCCATGAGTGCCCGAGTGTGCCCGTGTGTGTCCGTGTGTGTCCGTGTGTGTCAGCACGTGCCAGCTTGTGCCCGGTTATGCCTGCGTGTGCTCGCATGTGCCTGCACGTGCCCGCGTGTGCCCGCTTATGTCCGTGTGTGCCCCCATGTGCCCGCGTGTGCTCGCGTGTGCCCGTCCGCGAGTGTCACGTGTACCTGCGTGTGCCCGCGTGTGTCTGATCGCGTGTGTCACGTGTGTCCGCGTGCGTCATTGTGTGCCCGTCCACGTGTGTCACGTGTGCCCGCGTGTGTCCGCGTGTACCTGCGTGTGTCCGCGTGTGTCCCCCGCAGGCTCTTCCACGCCGAGAAGCTTCCCGGCTCGAACCTGGTGTTCGTCGTAGCGGAGAACATTCTGTGCTCCCACTGCCACATCACCGTCCTGACGCAGGCGGACCGTGAGTGTATCCTTCCAGTGCCACCCCCGCCACCCCCCTGCCCCCCCCCGCCCTTACCCCCACTCCACCCAGAGTGTAGCGGCGAGTGTTAACCCGGTTACCACCACGCCGAGTGTTAATCCGGTTATCAGGAGGGTTAGGAGCACCGCTGAGCATCAGTAGGACGATGGGGTGAGGTGGGGGCGTGGAACTACTGCTGCTGTTAGTGGGGAGCGCAATACCACCAACCCCCACCCCCGCTGCTACAATCGCTCGCTCCTTGACGTGTGGGCCCAGCGGAGGGGCACGACTCTTGTGCGATGGTGAGGACCCCGCGTGTGCGTCGTGGCCCCGAGAGCTGCTTCGACTACAACACCACGGTAACGGATCATACTTCACCACTTTGTACAGGGGTGGCGCGTTTGCCGCCTGTCGTCGCAGAGCTTGGCGGAGGTTGGAGCCGAGCGGCCGCCCTGGTTAATGCTGGGCTCGCCGCCGACGCTGGGGGCCCGCGTGTGTGACCCCGTGTGTGTGACCCTGTGTGTGACACCGTGTGGAGTTGAGGACAAATTTGGAAACCGCTCGATGCGTTCCTCATTCATAACGCCACGCATGTGTGCGTACGAGTGCGTGCGTGTGGGAGAGGAGCAGTGGCGCGGTGGTTAACGCGCTGCGCTGTGGAACCGGCGACCCGAGTTCGATTGCCGCTCACGGCCGATACCGGTGGCGGTTATCTGGACCGGACCTAGGACTCGCCTGGGTCGGCCCAACCTCAAATGAGTACCTGGTGCGAGGTGTAAACATTGCCACTCAGGCCGCGTGTGGTGCTGGTCACCCCACCCCCTCGTGTGCTGTGTCGGCCTTGATAGGTGCTCGCTTAAGACCACTTGTCCCAACAGTCTGTGAAGGCTATACGGGGATATTTGTCTTCTGTGGCCTTAAAAGGAAGCATTGACGACAGGCTACGTTGTGGGCAAATGGCGCTTCTTCTTCTTCTTCATAGCACGTGCTGTGACGGGCACTGTGAATGAACAATTTGGCCACATGGTCACGTGGCCTGACCCAAAAATCCGACTCAATCACGAACCGAATAACACAACGGAGGCGTCTCCTCTTTGCCTGAATGAACAAAGCAGACAAGACCACGCCCCCCCCAAACCGCCCCCCGCGTGCACACAACTCTCAAATACCCACACACAGAAGCGCCTGCGTGCAGCCCGCTTGCTGCGCCGCACCCGCCGCTCTGCGGGGCACACCCCGAAAGGCAGCGGCCCCTCGATGGATCTCGGTGGAGTTTCGGCGAATCTCTATGTGATCCGCTAACCTCCCCTCCCCCCCCCTCCGGGTTCCATGTAATAACACGGGGTGAACGGGGTCACGTGCGTAGGCGGGGTCACGTTCTTAGGCGGAGTCACGTGCGTAGTCGGGGTCACGTGCTTAGGCGGAGTCACGTGCGTAGGCGGGGTCACGTTCTTAGGTGGAGTCACGTGCGTGGGCGGGGCCATGCCAGGGACGGGATGATCGTCGCCCTCGGGCCCAACGTAAATGTCTCATGACCCACCGGAAGAGGCGAGCGGTCCTTATCGGCCCTGGCATTCACAATTTGATACGAACAGAGAGACAAAGCAAAAACAATCATATTTATTCGCTCGTAAAAATAAAATTTATTCCATTGTAGCCTCCTCCAAGGAGCCAGAGGACACCTTGGGCGAGGCTGTCGGATGTCGTGGAGCGGTGGCGCAGCGATTAGCACTACACCGCGCTACGAACCCGGCGACCCGAGTTCGATTCCCGCTCACGGCCAACGCCAGTGACGATTATCAGAACCGGTCATGGGCCTCCCCTAGGTCGACTCAGCATCACACGAGTACCTGGTGTGGTGTGCAAACATCACCACTGGGGAGACAAAGGCGGCCGGGCGTGGTGTTGGTCACCCACCCCCTTGTGTGCCGTGTCAGCCTTCGTAGTCGCTAACAGCACTTGCCCCAACATTCTGTCCAGGTTATATGGGGGGATCTTTGTCTTTGGTGTGGTCGTGTCCAGCACCAGATCTGGACACGGTCCTGCCACCATCGTCGGTAATCTCCTCCGACAGCCCAGGCTGACGCGTTGGCTCGGTCACGTAGCGCCGCATGCCCAGCCATCGAATGTCCAGCCACCGCATTCCCAGCCACTGCATGCCCAGCCACCGCATGCCCAGCCACCGCATTCCCTGGCACCGCATTCCCAGCCACCGCATTCCCAGCCACCGCGTGCCCAGCCACCGCGTGCCCAGCCACCGCGTGCCCAGCCACCGCATTCCCAGCCACCACAAGCCCAGCCACCGCAATCCCAGCCACCGCATTCCCAGCCACCGATTGCCCAGCCACCACGTGCCCAGCCACCGCGTGCCCAGCCACCGCATGCCCAGCCACCGCATTCCCTGGCACCGCATTCCCAGCCACCGCATTCCCAGCCACCGCGTGCCCAGCCACCGCGTGCCCAGCCACCGCGTGCCCAGCCACCGCATTCCCAGCCACCACAAGCCCAGCCACCGCAATCCCAGCCACCGCATTCCCAGCCACCGATTGCCCAGCCACCACGTGCCCAGCCACCGCGTGCCCAGCCACCGCATGCCCAGCCACCGCAATCCCAGCCACCGCATTCCCAGCCACTGCGTGCCCAGCCACTGCGTGCCCAGCCACCGCGTGCCCAGCCACCGCAATCCCAGCCACCGCATTCCCAGCCACCGCGTGCCCAGCCACCGCATTCCCAGCCACCGCGTGCCCAGCCACCGCGTTCCCAGCCACCGCATGCCCAGCCACCGCGTTCCCAGCCACCGCGTGCCCAGCCACCGCGTTCCCAGCCACTGCGTGCCCAGCCACAGCGTGCCCAGCCACCGCATGCCCAGCTGCTTCTCTTTGGCCAGATCGAGGGGGCTAGGCAGGCGCGGCACAGGCTAGAGAATGGGGGACTGATGCGATACAGGAGGATGTGGAGTGGATTTGGCAACGGCTCGTACCAGCGGTGTCAAGGCCTGCCGCTGTGGAGGAGGAGGAGGCTCGTGAAGGATGCTGCTGGGCAGTCGCCCTCCAACAAAAACTGAGGAGCGACGCTCACAGCAACGAGCGGAGCGCGGGGCAGATAAAACTCAGCGAGTTGGCACATTGGGGAGCACTGCTGGCGCATCTGCCAGCCATCTCATTCGGTCAACCCGCGGCACCTTTGCTGGGTTCTGTCCCGTGCCCTCCCGCAAGCGGAGAGGGCACGTCACGCGTCGGGCTCAAGGTGCACCTAGCCTGGCTCGAGCGCCGCGGGTGCCGTCACCGCCTCTTCGTGGCGAACACCCGACAGCTGCTGCTGCTGCTGTCAATACAAATAATAATGAAACCCATTTACATTTCCAAGACGAAATCCACGTCTACACCGCCGCAGCGCTCCCCACAAACGCGTGGCCAACGCCCCCCCCCCCCCCCCCCCGGAGCTGCCGGCCCCACGCTCGCTGCTCGTGCCGCCGCTTCAGAGCCCCCCCCCCATCCTCGGCGGGGATCGCGACGACGCTGCCCCCCAGGCTTTGCCGCGGGCGGCGAGCGGTTAAAAGAGGAGGAGATGGGGGCGGAGGGGGCGGAGGGGGCGGAGGGGGCGGAGGGGGCGGAGGGGCTTCCCCCATCGCGGCGGGGGGGGGGGGGGACTTCAGTCCGGAGCTCATGCGCGTTAAATCCCCAGCGGCGATTGGTGGCGAGGCTGCCTGGAGGTGCAGGAGGGGGAGGAGGAGGGGAGGAGGGGTCGGAGGAGGGGAGGAGGGGTCGGAGGAGGGGAGGAGGAGGGGGAGGAGGGGGGGAGGATGACGAGGGGGAGGAGGAGGTGGGGGAAGTGGAGGAGGAGGCGTGAGGGAGGAGGATCGAGAGGATGGGTAAGTGGAGGGGTGGCGAAGGAGGAGGGGAAAGAGGAGGTGGTTGGGGACATGGATGGAGAGGAAGAGGAGGGGTGGGGGTGGAAGAGGAGGAGGGGTGGGGCAGTAAGTAGTGGAGGAGGATGTGAGGGAGGAGGAGGGGGAGATGGGGAAGTGGAGGAAGAGGTGGAGGTGAGGGAGGAAGGGGAGCGGGTAGGGAGAGGAGGGAGGGGGGATGGAGCTGTGGTTGTTAATTCCCCAGAGTGGCGTCAGCGAGAGAGGCACTATTTATTTATTTGTGTATCTCTTCGCGGGCCCTCGCTCCGCCTCTCGGCGTCATCCACGGCAAAGCCGAACTCGGCCTCTGCCCAGTCCGGTGGCGCTTGGTTTTTGAGTTGTGCAGTCACTGATCACCGGGCCCAAACCGTCAGCTCGCTACACTTGAGAAGCCGGTTTAATGACAGCTCTACGTGAGTCTACGGGTCTCCATATGAGTCTGTGGGTCTCCATATGAGTCTGTGGGTCTCCATATGAGTCTGTGGGTCTCCATATGAGTCTGTGGGTCTCCATATGAGTCTGTGGGTCTCCATATGAGTTTGTGGGTCTCCATATGAGTCTGTGGGTCTCCATATGAGTCTGTGGGTCTCCATATGAGTCTGTGGGTCTCCATATGAGTCTGTGGGTCTCCATATGAGTCTGTGGGTTTCCATATGAGTCTGTGGGTCTCCATATGAGTCTGTGGGTCTCCATATGAGTCTGTGGGTCTCCATATGAGTCTGTGGGTCTCCATATGAGTCTGTGGGTCTCCATATGAGTCTACGGGTCTCCATATGAGTCTGTGGGTCTCCATATGAGTCTGTGGGTCTCCATATGAGTCTGTGGGTCTCCATGTGAGTCTGTGGGTCTCGATGTATAGCAAGGCCGTAGCCATGGAGTCAACATTGGGGGGACCAAATCTTCCCGGGAGTCTGGGGGTCCTAACCCAGAAAAATATCTACATTTGAAAACTCATTTCCTGCCTAAAATAAAAAAAAAATCCACGAGCATATGGGATGGACTTATTGTTTTTTTTACAATAATGTCTAACAGTGTATTGTATTATATTGCTCTGTTTTTACTTTTTTTTACCATTTCTTGTTTCATTGTATGTAATGGCAGAGATTAGGGATTAATAAAGTACAACCATAACCACAATCATATAAACAGAAATCAATGCATTGATTTATATGAAGATAAGTCCAGATATTGTGGCCAAGGTTTAGCAAATTGTTGTTTTTTATTTACATAGCATAGCAATTATTTTATAGCAATATATTGGGGGGGGGGGCATTTTCAGAATATTTGAATATTGGGGGGTCACCAGCATATGTCCCCCCCAATATATACTATGATTACGGCCTTGAAGTATAGAATCTGTGGGTGTTTACGCATGTCTATGGATCCCTGTGTGCGTCTATGGGTGTATGTGATATGTGAGTACACGGGTCTCTATGTGAGTCTTTGGATGTCTATGTGAGTCTATTGGTCTCTGTGAGTCTCAGTCTCTGTGTGAGTCTGTGGGTCTCTGTGAGTCTGTGGGTCTCCATGTGAGCCTGTGGGTGTTTACGTGAGTCTGTGGGTCCCTGTGTGCGTCTACGGGTGTGCACGTGAGTACACGGGTCTCTATGTGAGTCTTTCGATGTCTATGTGAGTCTATGGGTCTCTATGTAAGTCTGTGGGTGTCTATGTGAGTCTATGGGTCTCTGTGAGTCTGTGGGTCTCTATGAGTCTGGTGTACACACTGTGGTTGTGCAGCTGGAACCCAGGGCCTCATCAGCAGCGTCCTCTGACCTCTGAGCCACCTGGCCTCTGCCTCTTCCCCCTCCTCCCCCTCCTCCACCTCCTCCACTTCGTCAACCTCCTCCCCCCTCCTCCACTTCTTCCACTTCCTCAACCTTCTCTTCCACCTCCACCTCTCTCAACTTCCTCAACCTCCTCCACCTCCTCCACTTCGTCAACCTCCTCCCCCCTCCTCCACCTCCTCCACTTCCTCAACCTTCTCCTCCACCTCCACCTCTCTCAACTTCCTCAACCTTCTCCACCTCCTCCACCTCCTCGACCGCCTCCACCTCCTCCACCCCGGCTCTCGATTCCTTTCCCCGTCCTGCAGGAGGACTCGTCGCAGTGCGGCAAGGCCTCTTCGCTCGGGCCGTCCGTGCCGGCCGTCGTGGGCCTGCAGGTGCTGGGCCTGTGGCTCCTGCCGCTGCTCCTCCTGCCGCTGCCGTCGCCGGCTCCTTCCGAACCTCACCCCTCCTGAGGGTCGCCTTTCCACCGCCGCGGAGCCATTCGGGGAGCCACCACAGCCGAGCCACGGCCAGGCTTTTCACGCGATTGAATGCTCACAGTGTTATCGTCATCATCATCATCGTCGTCGTTCTTTTTATTGTTCGGAAGAGAAGTTTGTTGGCGTGGTCTCATGGGACGTAGCGCTGCTGTGGCAGCTCCATTTGGGGGTGGTGGTGGGGGGGGGTCACCACCAAGCCCCCTTCTGGGAACGCGCCACTGAGAAAGCGGTGGGGGGGGGGATCCGTGTCTCCACCGCCACCGACAACGCCGCCGCTACCCCCGCCCCAAGCCGGCGTTGGAGGCGCAGACTTCGCTAGGCGCTGTCGCTCGCGGCCAGAGGGGATCGAACTCCGCGTGGCGAACTGTCGGTCGTGGATTTGTGGTGGCCAGGGCCCTCCAGGCCACCCCGAGCCCACCAGGACCCAGCCGCCGTGATTTTCGTCACCTGGGAACTTTGCGATCCAGCGCGGGGAGGTAGGGGCGATGCACCCCATCTGACCTCTGACCCCTCATACTGCTGCTGATGCCACCTTCTTAAGGAAGCCACCACCACCTTCCACCGCTACCACCACCACCTTCCACCGCTACCACCACCACCACCTTCCACCGCTACCACCACCGCCACCGTCCCCACGGTCGCTCCTCCGACCTCGCGAAACGGAGGCCATTGAGAGCCATCAGCTGACAACAACCTTTATTTTTTTCTGCTCCTTTCCTCTCGCCCGGAGGGGATTTCTCGACCTTCGCGGGAACTCTGCCGTCGTGAAAATTGTTCGGTTCGTTATTGTCGCTTTGTCGGTCGGTCAATTGGTTAGCCGATTGGTCAGACGATTGGTCAGCTGATTGGTCAGCCGATTGGTCAGCTGATTAGTCAGTCACTCGCTGAGTCGGCTTGCGAGGTGAATCTATGAGCGTGCGTCGGTGCTCTGCATGGTGGCGCGGTGTTCATTGTGCGTGCGTGTGTGCGTGGGAGTGAGCGTGCATGTGCGTGTATTGCGGTTTGCGTGCGCTACGAACCCGGCGATCCGAGTTCGATTTCCGCTCACGGCCAACAGCGGTGACGATTATCAGAGCCGGTCCTGGGCCTCCCCTGGGTCAAATCGGCCTCAAATGAGTACCTGGTGGGATGTGTAACTATCGCCACTAGAGATACAAAGGCGGCCGGGCGTGGTGCTGCCTAGCCCACACCACTTGTTTGCCGTGCCGGCCTTCATAGGTGCCCGCTAACAGCACTTGCCCCAACAGTCTTGCCGTCTTGCCAGCCTATATAGGGGGCATCTTTGTGTTTGTGTGCACGTGGTGACGAATCACGTGCACACAAACAGAAACAAATTATCCACAGGATGGTTGGGCGGTGGTTTTTTTGTTTTGCCACAGAGCGTGCGGCGGAGTCCGCCGCAACGGGGAGATCACTCCCGAGACTTGCGGATGACTCGGCGGGCGGCCTCGTCTCCCCCGCTTGGAGCGCCCTCTCGATTAAACCCTCCTCCGTTGCTCCATAGCGGATGAGGCTCCATCGCAAGCGGTTATCCACGGTCAGGGGTGGCTCCAAGATGGGGTGGGGGCGGGGGGGGGGACACTACCCACTTTAGAACCCGACGATCGGTGTCGTGCTGATGTCCGTCGGGACGAACCCGCGATGGGCTTCGTGTTGGTAGAATGCTGCGGCGGGGGGTGATTGTGGTGGGAGGGCACTGAGAGTGAAGGGACGCTCCATCCTCCTCTTCCGCTACTGTCCATCCTGGGGGTGGGTGGGACAGGTTCACGCACCCCCCCCCCCCCCCCCCCCCCCCCTGTCCGCGATGAAACTACTTCATTTAACGAGCATGAGAAAGATCTCACTCGGAGCAGTGGCGGGGGGGGGGGGTGGAGGTTTTAACAACCCCCCCCCACGTCCCCCCCCCCGCCCCCCAACGTGGCTACGTGCGTTAGGACGGCCCGGGTGCACGGCGGCCCTCTCACCAGCACCGTCTTTTTGTGAGCGACTGGGGAGGCCTTTGATCATGGGAAGCTCATTCTAACCTCTCACAAAGAGAAGGGTGGGGACGGGGGGGGGGAGAGCTGGGAGGGTCCGGACCCCGCTTCTGTGAGATATCTCTCTTTTTGATTCCATCTCCTCCTTTATGCCACACAGGAGTGAGCGACCGAGCGAGCAGGCGGTAATGATTGGAGGAGCTCGGTCGGCAAGAAGCAGCTGATGAAAGCATTGTGGATGGTGGCGGGAGTGCGCGCGGAGGGGGTGAGCGATTATGCCACGCCGCGTGGTTCTCCACGTTTGGTTCCCTTTGAACTTAACGAATATCCAGCGACGCAACAACGCTCCGGAGTGCGTGGGGGGGGGGGAGTGGTGGCGAAGCGGTGAATGCACCGCACTGCGAGCCCGGCGGCGACCCGAGTTCGATTACCTGGCCCACGGCTAGCATCAGTGGCGAGGAGTGTGGAACAACGAGCCGCGGCACTGTACTACCATTCACCCACCCACTCATCCACTCAGCCGTCTACAAAGACAAAGATCCCCGTGTAGCCTTAACAGACTGTTGGGAGCAAGTGCTGTTTGTGAGCACCTATGAAGGCCGGCACGGCACACGAGGGGGTCGGTGGCCAGCAACACGCCGGGCTGCCTTTGTCTCCCGAGTGGCGATGGTTACACACTGCTTAAGGTACTCATTTGAGGCTGATTCCACCTAGGAGAGGCCCAGGACCAGTTGAGATATTCATCAATGGTGAATATCTCCCCGTTGACCATTTAACCATTTATCCACCCACTCACTCGGCAATTCACAGACTCGCTCAACTATTTAGCCGCCTACCTACTCACCCATGCACCACACCGCAGGTCACAACAGCTCACCCACTCGACCATTCACTCACCCACTCGTTCATCCACTCACTCACCCATCCATCCACCGCCCTGGTGGTCCACCTCACTGCCTCTCTCTGCTTATTCACTCGCACTGCTCCACTCTGCAATTCCCTCTCCCATCATCATCGTTGTCTCGTCTGCCAAGTTCCTCGAACCGCGCTCAATTCCAGACACCCCCTCCCCCCGTCCCCATGGAGGAAGGGGACCAATTTAAGTAACCAATCGCTTAATGTCCGGGTCACCAAGCCGGGAAATATTTAAACGGCCCGGCACACCATATTCAGTATACACATCTCGCTGTTTCTATGGCGACTGCCAGTTAACGTGCCACATGCTCCTGTCTGCCAGCGACCAAGATAAAAACACAATATCCCACTGGGGGCATTCCATCCCCTTGCACCGACTCCAGAAGTAGTTATGTGACAACATTTTCCAGAGCCACCGTCTGCCACAAGGGGATGCGCCGCACGCCAGGAGCGTTTCCGAGTGACGGACATCTCCTGCGGCCGTGAAGACACGATGGCCAGAGCACAAGCGTGTTTTAGATCGGAGCGCACATTTTTTGAGCACAATGCAGACCGACTTCGGACAACGGTCTTCTCGGATTCAAAGAGTCTTTGAGATTTTCGTATTTTTAAATGACAATTTCTGATTATCGCTTCGGATTTTGCAGATTGCCGCACGACGGAATTAAGGCGTCTTTGTCGCTAACGATTGTGACGTGTCCCGACGCAACGTGACGTCGGCTCTGAGGGTGGGTGGGCCAATGCGACCTCACTTCCTGGGACGTCCATTTCCGGCGAGGGCACGTATCGTGACGTCACGTAATTCGGGGAAACGATCGAAAGACGGGAAGGGAACATTCGGACCGTCCGGAATGATCTTGTGTGCGTGTGTGAACGTTGCACTTCTTTGGTGCACTGTACGTAGCCAACCGTGCTAAACGGGGCTACGTGGGCCATCCGTGCTATCGTGAATACATTTTCCAATGTTTTGGGTTTTTTGGGGGGAATTTGTTTGGGAATCTGGAAAAATAGGAGCACATCCAAACTTTCTACTGATTTCTATAAAAGCTGCTGTTGTTGTTGTCGTTCACCATTCTTGTTATCGTTTGTCGTTGCGTTCTTCCCCGTGCTGTGACGGATACTTGGGCGAAGATGTTGGGAGTCTGTAAAAATGAATAATGGAGAATAAATATTTAACAATCAAACGAGAAAGAAGGGCAACGTTGTTTTCGAGTGATTGAGGTTTTTCAAAGCCGGCTCGAAATTTAACCGCGTCGTCACGGGGAGTGTTTTAGTAATCGTTTTCCATTGCCAAACAGTCGACATTGATGCTCAACTCTGGGCCAATGTTGGGGCGCTGTGGTTGTAACAATTGAGCCAACGTTTGGCCAACTCTGGGCCCCTGTGGCTAAGGTTGGGTCAGTAATTTTACCGAGCGGTGATTCTAAAGATCGTCTCCTATCTTGCATAGAACGTACGACGACGACTACGAAGTTTTGCGGCGTCTCGTATCCATGCGGCCAAAGCCTCGCCGGCTCGTTCAGGAGGGGGTCACACTAACATCAGCGCTCGCCCACTGATGCCAGCCGTGAGGGGGTGACAGAGATGCTCTGACGGTTGTCCAGAAAGCATACGACAACAGAACCCCCAATTTGCGTGCACAGGGGGCACGCGTGTGGGAAAAAGGGGGGAGGGGGTGCACGCGCGTGGGGACACGGGGAGGGGGGGGGCAATGGGCGCAAGTGACCCCCCTGACCTCACCTTTGACCACCTTCACCGGTGAGTGGACAAAACTCAACAACGTTATGCCGTGTCAAAAACAACAACGCCGTGTCTGTGGCCCTTAAATATATATATAATTGACGACATTACATGCAATGGTCCTTTATCATTGCACAAAGGGGCCATTGCCCTGAATATCTTCGCACGTGAAGAAGGGCAATTGCCCGAAACGTCGCCTATTATATTGTCTTCCCTTTGTAAGGCCGCACGTGCGGTGATGTTGCTGTTGGCACTGAACGCGTTGGGATTGTTGGCTGTGCTTGTAAAAACTAGACATTTGATAGACTAAACTTTTGCTAGTTTACCAGGTAAGGCCCCGCTGAACTGCTTTGCTCTTTTTCAGAAGCGACTTGGCCATCACAATTGGTAGCTCACCAAAGTGGTGAATTGTCACGTAGAAATTAATTGCAGACAAATACTCTGAAACGCGTGATGCGGATTCTAAATGTGGAGGGAAAATCCGGAGGGCGCAGACAAAAATCCACGCGACCACGGAGAGAAAGAGACACACAAACTCCACATTTACAGGAAGATGTCAGGGTCTGTATCGAACCCACGACCTCCTGTAAACTTGGCGAGGTCGTTAACATCTCACCACGGGGTGAGAGAGAGATCAAGAGAGAGACCTCAAACTCCAAATATACAGCATGTATCAGGGTCGGGATCGAATCCACAACCTCCTGTATATCAGGCGAGGTAGTTAACATCTATATTGAGAGAGAGATTGACGCAAACTCGCAATATACAGCAGAAGGCGTCAGGGTCGGGATCGAATCCACAACTTCCTGTATACCAGGCGAGGTAGTTAACATCTCCCAGCTGCCGTTGTGCCCGTGGCTGTTCATTTCCACTCCCCACGCAGCAGCAGAAGCGGCGTTGGCCTCACCAACACGATTTGTAAAATCAGCAAATGACAGCATTGTCTGGAAATTAATTTAATTCGTGTAATTATTATTTAACTGACTGCAATTAAAAATAATCTCGAGGGAGCGGAACTTATAATAATAATGATGTTATTATTTAAACAAAAAAAGTAATGATGTGAACATAATCCTTTCCATTCTGTTTTGGATTCATCAAAACCGTTGCCAATTCCGCAAGAACCGATGAGGGATTATTGTAATAATAATTATAATAATAATTCTTATAATCCCGCTTCCCCCCGCCCCCACCTCCTCGCTGGCGCAGAAGTTAATGGTGAAGCTCATTTTGTAGGAATGTTCATGAGTTTTCGGGGGAGGAAGGGGTGGTGGATCCTCACGCAACCGGTTGAATGGAGAGAGGGAGGGGGGCAGGGGGGGGGGTGGAGGGGGGCAGTCGGTGGACCACTGTGGTGTTGTCCAGCCCAGTGGGGTTGCCAACCCCCCGGGGTTTGCCCGGGACTCTCTGACCAGAATTCGGCCTCG